GGGGATGCTGTTTTGGTTGTCACTGTGGTTATTACACCGCCAGCCGTATGAAATTTGCTAGCCAGCTAAATAAATTACAGGTAGTCCTCGACTTACAACAGCTAGGGTTGCCAGGTGTCCACTATTTGAGCGGACAGTCCACTTTTTTTCACATTATGTTCACTATTTTTTTTCACAAAATAGTGGGCATTTTTTTTTTATTCAAAAGCTTTATGATGAAATGGTACGTAATCTAAAGCTGTACAGTCTACTTTTTTTACTACTTAAACACCCCCCCCCCGGCTTATCCGCTATTTTTTGGAAGCAGACCTGGCAACCCTAACAACAGCTCAGCTTAGTGACCGTTCAAAGTTGCAACGGCACTGCAGAGAAGGGCTTACGACTGCTTTTCGCACTCGGGACTCGTGGCTGCATCCCCGTGGTCACGGGATTAACCTTCAAGACGCTTGGCAAAGGACTCACACTTATGACGTAGGCAGTCTTCTCCGGTCAGGCGATTCCCCCCCCTCTGGAGACCTTCTGACAAGCGGAGTCAATGGGGGGGGAAAGTCAGATTCGCTTAACGACCATCTTACCAACTCCACATCTGCAGTGATTCGCTTAACAACTGTGGCAAGAAGTTCGTCAGATGGGGCAAAAACTGGCTTAACAAATGTCTGACTTAGCAAGAGAAATTTGGGGCTCAGCTGAGGTCGTAAGTCAAGGACTACCTGTACTCTAAAGGGACGGGAGACCCAGCAACCAGCCGGCCGCCACTCTTGGGCATCTGGTGGGCGCCAGGTTGGGGAAACTGGGGCAAAGAAAACATCACGGTGGTCTAGATTTTCCGCTGGGGCAGGATTGGGGGTGGGGAGGTGGGTCGTGAATTATGGATCCTGTTGTCGTGAGAGATTAAGATGTTGGGCTTGATGCTGGGAGAGCCGAGTTCAGATTCACACGACATCTTGGAAACTCACTGACTTTGGAGGAGTTTCTTTCTCTCTCAGCCAGTCTACCTCAGAGGGTTGTTGTAGTGGGGGTAGAGCTGCTCTGAAGAAGAGGTGAGAGATAAATCCAGGACATAAAATAATAACTGAATAAATTATTATTTGAATAAATAATTGTTGTGTTATTAGAGACAGAAAAGGTGAAAAAACAACCTCAAAACCATAAACTCTAGCCTGAGATTCACGTCATTCTTGACAGATAATTAACATGTAAGTCCATTTTCTTTTTCTTTTTTTTTAAATTTTTTTTATTTTTCACTATACACCATACACCAAAAACTACATAAACATAAATCTTTTCTTCTAACAGAACAGTGCTTTACATTTTAAATATTCTTTACATCTTATTTACATTTTATGTACATCAATAATTGTGTCTTTTTCTTTCTCTGTTCTAGCCAATTATAACATTTATTCCAAATTTCATAAAATTCTGACGTCTCCTTGTCTTTTAATTCTAACGTAAGTTTGTTCATTTCTGCGCATTCCAAGATTTTATACATAATCATATCATTTGTAGGAATATTTTCACTCTTCCAACATTGCGCATATGCTATATGAGCTGCAGTCAATATGTGTATAATGATGTGTTGGAGTTGTTTTTCCATCTTTAAATTTATTATGCCCAAAAGAAATATTTCTGGTTTGAAATCCATTTGTATCTCAGTTATCTCCTGTATCCAATCTCTTATCCGTTCCCAATAATGTAAGTCCATTTTCTTAACAGTAGGGATAAAAGCGTTATAACTCTAGCATTTTCTCTCAGTGGGTCTGAATTGTCTCCAACTTGGTGCTGCCAGAGGGAAATGCCCGTTGGTGCATTTCCAGAGTCAGCACCATTTCATCTTTAATGAAATATTCAACCTGTAACAGTCAAAGGAATAAAATGAGTGTTTATAGTTGCCAGCGTTTGCAATCGCTCAAGAAGAGAATTGGGGGTGTGTTTGTGGGTTGGTCTGCCTAGCGATCTCCCCTGATCCTGTTTTGGGCCATCTTTTGATGTTCTCTTTGGGTTGCAAAAAGCATTTTACTTCTCTGCTGTAAAATAACACAGGTAGCCTTCCATTTACCACCGCAATTGAGCCCAACGTTTCTGTTGCTAAGTGAGACATTTGTTAAGTGGGTTTTGCCCCATTTTACGACCGTCCTTCCCACAGTTAGGTTAGTCACAAGGATAAGTGCCTCTGGCTCCCCCCCCCCTTTGACTTTTTGCCTGTTAGAAGGTCGTGAAAGGGGATCACGTGACCTTGGGACACAGCAACGGTCGTAAATATGAACCAGATGCCAAGCATCTGGATTTTGATCACGTGATCGTGGGGATGCTGGAAAGGCTGTAACTGAAAAATGGTCGTAAGTCACTTTTTTCATTGCCGTTGTAACTTTGTAACTTTGAACGGTCACTAAGTGAATCGTTGGATGTCAAGGACTACCTGTACTAACATTTTAGCATTTTCTGCTCAGGGGTAGGCAACCTTGGCTCTTCTATGACTCGTGGACTTCAACTCCCAGAATTCCTGAGCCAGCCATGCTGAGGGGAAATGGAGAGGTTTCCAAGCTGAGCCATGCTGGCTCAGGAATTCTTGGAGTCCACGAGTCATAAAAGAGCCAAGGTTGCCTACCCCTGCTCTAGTGGGAGAAGCAAGTCACAGGAGACGGCCCTGGAGTGTATCGCACACAGTTGTGGAATAACGCAGAAAACCAGGCCGGTGTGTAGATATCAGAATTCCCACAGGAAGGGGAGCCCTGGGCAAGAGACCTGCCAGGCTGCCAGACTTTCTGTAGGGTAGACCGATAAGCTCTTCGGCATTTCAAAAGTTTTCAGTTTGCGGTCCCTGCTAGGAGATCTTTGGAGAGGAGGCCGACCTCCTTTCTTTTCAATTGAGTCAACAAGGAAAAATTCCCTCACCTACAGGAAGCCGGATTAGCTGTTGCTGAAAAGTCACACATTTCCTGAGCTATCCCCTCCACAGCCAGATGCACGTTGGGAGTAGTGGATGGAAGGAGTAAGGAAAGGGGACATCCACTTCGGAGTTAAAGAAAGAAAAATGTGGAAATTTTGGATTGTAATCCCTTGGGCAGGGGTCGGCCACCTTAGCTCTTTTATGACTCGTGGACTTCAACTCCCAGAATTCCTGAGCCAGCCATGCTGAGGAGAAATGGAGGCTATGCTGGCTCAGGAATTCTGGGAATTGAAGTCATAAAAGAGCCAAGGTTGCCTACCCCTGCGGGCCTTGGGGAAAGGTGTAATCTCTCCCTTGCACAGCGACTGGAGACACTTTTGAAGCAAAACAAGCTAAAGGAAATAATTAAAAGGGTGACAATGCTCATTTGCAGATTATAAGGGTGTCTGTAGCAATGGAAGTGGGGTGCACAAAATGTGAGTCCACCGCTGGGGAAGCACAATTAAACGTTGTTTAGGCCAAAATATTGTTGCCCAAAATCTCATATAATTATCATCATGCTGCTAAATATGGCAGTTGTAGTCCAGGGCATTTAAGAGTATACCAGATAGGAGGGAAGGCTTACTTTTGTTTCATTTTATATGGGGGTTCAGACCAATAAAACCAAAATGCAACTTTAAACATACAGAAAAGCAAACCAACCCATGAACTTGAAATAATGAACAAAGAGATAAGTTTATTAATCCAGTTTTTGCAACCCATAGGTAGTGCAAGAAAGTTGGCAACTTTGATAGTCTTAAGTTAGGTTTGCAGGAAGAAAATGGTAATCTCTTGTTCAGAAAGAAGATGAACATTTCGGATAATTGGATTTATGAACGCCAGATGCCACGGGAGGTACAAGGGGCATGTAACAAAATATTTGGACTACTCACTCAGCCTCTGTTGCTGAGGAGGCCTGTTTATGTTTGCAATACGGGAGACTAATATAATCTCCATAGTAGATGGTGTGCCAAGTGAGGCCAAGGAAAGCATCTCTTAGGCGAAATAAGTTGGATGTTAGAGAACTAGCAAGGAATTGTCCATGGAGAACCTGCAAATGTACCATCATCATCATCATCATCATCATCATCATCATCATCATCATCATATTACTACTACTACTACTACTATTATTAATAATAGTAGTAGCAGTAGTAGTAGCAATAATAATAATAATAATAATAATAATAATAATAATAATAATAATAATAATAATAATAATAAAGTTGGAAGGGACCTTGGAGGTCATCTAGTCCAACCCCCTGCTCAGGCAGGAAACCTCATACTATTTCAGACAAATGGCTGTCCAGTCTCTTCTTAAAAAATTCCAGTGTTGGAGCATTCACCGCTTCTGGAGGCAGGTTGTTCCACTGGTTAATTGTTCTAACTGTCAGGAAGTTTCTCCTTAGTTCTAGGTTGCTTCTCTCCTTGAATAATTTCCATCCGTTGCTTCTTGTCTTGCCTTCAGGTGCTTTGGAGAATAGCTTGATTCCCTCTTGTTTGGGGCAGCCCCTGAGATACTGGAACACTGCTCCATGTCCACCCTCGTCCTTCTCTTCATTAAACTAGACATAGCCAATTCCAGCAACCGTTCCTTATATGTTTTAGCCTCCAGACCTCTAATCATCTTTGTTGCTCTTCTCTGTACTCTTTCTAGATGGGATGGATGACTTTGGCCTTGTCATTCTATAGATCTAATTCCCAAATTCTCTGCTGAAGTTTGATTAAAGGTTTATCTGGACTGAGAAACGATGTTATCTGGAGTGAGAGCTACAATATGAGCAGGGGGTTGGACTAGAAGATCTCCACTGTCCCTTTCAACTCTGTTATTCTGTTATATGCTAGATCAGAAGGCTCTGATGGAAGGCCGGCTTATAAAGAAATGCATATTTTATGATTTCTATCCAGAGAGTCCAATTCCTATCGATTCTGTCCAATGGAATTTTTCGCCGGTTGGAATTTCCGGTTGTCTTCAGTTCCCAAAAACCTGTCCATGACAAAGAGAATAAACGAGTGCATTGCTTGTTCTTAGTAGTTCTTTAACATAGTAGAAGATTAATATGTAAACTTCACAATGACGGTAAGACAGTAATCCATATCCATAATCTTCGTTTCCAAATAAACAAAGGTCAATGTTATAAACTACCAGTCATTAAAATCATGCCACAGGCAAAAAGGCTTAGTTGTTCTTTAAGAAAAATCCATGGATACAGCCTGGTAGTCACTACAGGTGGTATTTAATTATTCAGGCTAAGGAAGGAGTGGATATTGTATGGAAATAGCAAAATGTTGATGCTGCCAAGAATGTGAAGGACTAAAGCAGGGATGTCAAACTCAATTTCATTGAGGGCCGCATCAGCATTGCGGTTGCCCTCGGGGCAGGTGGGTGTGGCCAGGGTGGGTGCAGCCTACTGAGGGCGTGGATGGAATAGGTGTGGCCTATTGGGTGGGCGTGGCCAGCTCTACATCCTTCGCGTCAATGGTGCCTGTGGGGGCCTGGGCAGGAGTGGGACAGATCTGAGGGTCTCTGGCACAAGAGGGTGGGACCAGGACCACTTCCAAGCGATGATGCATTTCTTTATTCCTCACAAAGAGTGACACCTCCCCAGCATGCACCCAGGGGGCAGGGCCAACACGTCAGGGGCTGGTTCCTCGCTGTTTCCAGACGGCCTTGTGGAGCAAATACTGAATGCATTTCAGCATAGATGGCCACCACAAAATTGTACATTGGCTCCCGGCCGCCCTGGGCCAGGGCCAAGACAGTGGGGGCCGTTCCCTCACTGTTTCCAGGATGGCTTTGCGGGCCACATGAAACCACTTTGCGGGCTGCATCCGGCCCCCGGGCCTTGTGTTTGACATATCTGGACTAAAGACTGTTTCAGGGGCTTTCTATGCCCTGAATAGCAAATACACCTAGTCCTGGACTTACAATAGTTTGTTTAGTGACTGTTCAAAGTTACAACAGCACTGAAAAAAGCGACAGGGCCATTTTTCACACATATGACCATTGTAGCATCTCCATGGTCATGTGATTTACATTCGGCTGTTTGACAACTCACTCACATTTATGACGGTTGCAGCGTCCTGGGGTCACATGATCCCCTTTTGCGACGAGCCAAGTCAGTGGGGAAGCCGGATTCATTTAGCCAACGGTCTACTAACTTAGCCACTACAGTGATTCACTGAACAAATGTGGCAAGGCAAGTCGTACAATGAGGCAAAATTCACTTAACAACATAAATTTTGGGCTCAGTTGTGGATTACCTGTAATTATGTGGTGTAGGAGAGATATGCTTTGTTAGCTTGATAGGTAGAGACTCAACGTGTCTACGCGAGATTCTCAGTCACCCAGATCATGGTTGTCCCAAAGATGCTTTTTCAAGAGCTAACTGGACTTTCTTTGTTTTTCCTTGAGGACGTTTCTCTTCCCATCCAAGAAGCTTCTTCAGTTCTTGTACGAGAAGCGAAATGTCTTCAAGAAAAAACAAAGTCAGTCCTGTTGCCTCTTGAAAAAGCACCTTTGGGGTAGAGACTGAAAGATCAGTGAATGCTTGTTTTTCAAAATTGTCTTGAAATGAATAAAGGAGAATGTGGGCTTCTTGTTTATTACTAGCATAAACCTCAAAATCCACTTGTAATGAAAGAGACAACTCAGAGCTGTGTTAAAATTCTGCTGCCAGATAAACATATAGAGGTGACACCTGCACATGAGCCCCATTCAAATCAATCAGATCAAATCTTCACCAGGGTCATAAACCAGCATAGTGAAATCAACAAGACATTAGGGGACTGGAGGCTAAAAACATATAAGGAACAGTTGCTGGAATTGGGTATGTCTAGTTTAACAAAGAGAAGGACGAGGGGGGACATAATAGCAGTGTTCCAATCTCTCAGGGGCTGCCTCAAAGAAGAGGGAGTCAAGCTATTTTCCAAAGCCCTGAAGGCAGGACAAGAAGCAATGGATGGAAACTAATCAAGGAGAGAAGCAACCTAGAATTAAGGAGAAACTTCCTGATGGTTAGAACAATTAACCAGTGGAACAACCTGCCTCCAGAAGCGGTGAATGCTCCAACACTGGAAATTTTTAAGAAGAGACTGGACAGTCATTTGTCTGAAATGGTATAGGGTTTCCTGCCTGAGCAGGGGGTTGGACTAGAAGATCTCCAAGGTCCCTTCCAACATAATAATAATAATAATAATAATAATAATAATAATAATAATAATAATAATAATAATAATAATAATAATAATAATAATAATAATAATATATGGTCATGTATAAGAATGGCTGATAGTTAATTACTTATGATGGATGCTCATGGATTTGGATTTACGCTAAACATGTTGAGTTCATTGGGACTTCTTAGGAAAGAAGCGTGCTTTGGACTGTAGACTTACATAAGTAAAAGCCAAGAATATTCAGCACAGAATAGATCGTTTAAAATTACTGTATGTGTTTCAAATAGCCCAGAAACTCTCAAAGCAGAAATATTTCTCTTGGACATGAATAACAAACGGTGGGATGTTTGCTTGCAAAGAACATATGTGATAGGAATCTATTTAGCATAAGTGGAAATGATGATTATGTTAATTCCAGCATTAAGGCCTTGCCTGAAAAACAAATTCAAATAAACATCATTTGCAATTCTTTCCAGCTTAGTAAAATGTTGGAAAGAAATTACATAATGGTGCTTAGGAATCCCTCGCTGTTCATCAAGATGACTCTTCAAAAAGGGATTGGAATGTAACCAAGTTTGAAAACGGGTCATATGTGACCAATAGCCATGGGGGAAAAGAAATCCAGAACAATTTTCCCCAGAGTGGGGTAGGCAACCTTGGCTCTTTTATGACTGGTGGACTTCAACTCCCAGAATCCCTGAGCCAGCATGGCTCAGCTTGGAAACCTCTCCCTTTCCCCTCAGCATGGCTGGCTCAGGAATTCTGGGAGTTGAAGTCCACGAGTCATAAAAGAGCCAAGGTTGCCTATTCCTGCCCCAGAGCTACCCTATAGAAAAGGAAGTTGGACAGTGGCTCAGGAATCAGTGCTGCTATTCTCCTTCTGCCAGGTCACTTGATCCAGAGTGGAGCTCAAGTTGAAGGATGAGAAGAATTTCCTGAGCCATATTGTGCAAGATTATTCTCTTTTGATACTGAATACTGCCCAAGCTGAGATATGAAGAATATTCTGAAGCACTTCAGTGAGATGTTAAATCAGGGGTCTTCAAACTTGGCCCTTTTTATGACTTGTGGACTTCAACTCCCAGAATTCCTCAGCCAGGCACGCTGGCTCAGGAATTCTGGGAGTTGAAGTCCACAAGTCATAAAAGGGCCAAGTTTGAAGACCCCTGAGCTAGAAGGACTCCAGTCAAAATTGAGCGTTGAGTTCTACAGAAGGCTTATAATCCCATCTCCGTTCAACCTAGTGATCTGCAAACTCTTAACATATCTGGACAAGTTTGTTTTTGCACAACTTAAAATATCTTTATAGAAACAGACTTCATTGTAAGTTTTTTTTTTATAATTCTAGGCATTTGGGTGATGAAAAGGAAATATGATAGGAGCAACAGAACTAGGTCAAAACCTTTCTTATTGTCATTTGCAACGGCAACGGTAGCCAAGAAAGTTTCATGACATATCGATGGACTCATAACAACTCAACAGCAGCATTGCTCTCTGTCTCTGAGAGTAACCTGATAACAAAATCTAAAAATACCAGTTAATACAGTTTTCTTAAATGTGAAATGTCCTCAGAATAAAGAAAACAATCGCTCTGAAAGTATTTATTTCAGAACACAATCCCAAAGATGCTTTTTCACGAGGCAACTGGACCTTTCTTATTTTTCTTTGAAGATGTTTCGCTTCTCATCCAAGAAGCTTCTTCAGCTCTCACTGGATGGTGGGGGATGGCTGAGCTGAAGAAGCCTCTTGGATGAGAAGTGAAACGTCTTCAAAGAAAATCAAGAAAGGTCCAGTTGCCTCCTGAAAAAGCATCTTTGGGATAACTATGACCTGGATGACTGAGAATCTCCATAAACATTCAGAATACAATCATTACAATGTTGTATGAAGTTGAAACTCAAGTACTTTGGCCACCTAATGAGAAGGAAGGACTCACTGGAGAAGAGCCTAATGCTGGGAAAGATGGAGGGCAATAGAAGAAGGGGACGACAGAGAAAGAGGTGGCTGGATGGAGTCACTGAAGCAGTAGGCGTGAGCTTCAATGGACTCCAGAAGATGGTAGAGGACAGGAAGGCCTGGAGGAACGTTGTCCATGGGGTCGCGATGGGTCAGACACGACTTCGCAATTAACAACAACAATGGGACACAATGGTGCCTACAGTGGGTCACAAATGGCAGGTGATGGATGGAGGAGTGTGGTGCCGGCCTCACTACTTTTGCACGTGCATTGACATCACACAAATGAGGCAAATGGGGTGGGTCTTGCATTGTGATACCTCTCTTTCCCATTTTACTAATCCCCACCCACCCACTGGTAGATGGTGCTGGAAAGCATAATCCCTTTTCTTAAGTTAAGTAGAAAAGACAAAATAAAGCAAAACCACACAAAACATTACAAAAGAAGAAAAAACAACGAAAAATCAAAAGCATAAAGGGCACATACTTAACATATCTATGTGTCTAAAGTTGCACAGTAAACATTTCAACGAAAAGAAGAATGTTTTGACCCGTACTGATGCAATTGTTTCATGCAATTGTCTTGCAAAGTTCTTTTATTACAGAGTGGCTGCTTTCATTTCGATAGCATAATCTTATACGGACAGATCATTTGGAAGCCGTCCAAGCAAATTCAATTAATTTGATCAAGGAGCAAACTGGTTTTCTTTTTAAACTTAAGGGGACATTTAAGTCATGCCTGAGAAAAATGAGATCATTATTAAAACCACGTTCAGCGTGTTTCAATGCGCATATCCTTTAGCTAGACCTTGAAGTTAGAAGTGCAAACAAACAGGAACTCCACCCTGGCCCGTATGAATTGTAGAGTTGAGTTGCTAGCTCCTGACCATCTGCCCATTCTTCCTGTTATGATAGCACTCATGAATTTCAGTGTGATGTTTCATTCTTCATAATTTAACCCTTTCAGTGGACAAAAGGGAATTTTCCCTTGGATGCTATTATTCAGCATCCTCTTAAATTTATTTGCTGACATAAATTAGCGAACAGGTTATGTAGACAAATTAGTCCATATCTAATGCATATCCCATGCCTTCAGATACAATGTGATCATAATCCATTGCTGCCATAAAAAAGCAAGATTTTTTGTTTCTAGCTTTGTAGGCCATTTCCCCAAACATATGCATTTTGTATGCAGTTTTGTAATTCTGAAAGGCAGCGTTCATTAAAAGCCTGCACCCAAGAAATAAGTATGGGAGTGTGTGTATGTTATGTATACATGTACCTATCTATCTGTCTGTCTTTCCATGTGTGTATGTGTGTGTTTATGTATATAGTGTGTGTGTATAATTAATTTTTAAGTAGATTAAAAATAACAAAACAAAGAGAAAAAGAGAGATAAAAGAAAAAGAAAAAGAAAAGACAAGCGTGCAGAAATAAAAGATTAAAAAAACAGAAAAAAGAAGCTTCCAATTTCCTTTGCACCAAATGCAAGCATGTTTGTAAAGTTATCTCTTACTCTATGATTACAAAAAAGCTTCCTTTTTTTCTATCATCCATTTTTTTTAATCATGAGAACCACAAACGATAAGTGCATTATTTTCTGTTTTATGCAAAAGTTTCTAAGAGATTTCTAGTCAGCCATACAGGTACATACAGGTCTTTTCTTTAAGCAAAGAAGTTAATTTAGCCACCACTGCAAGTTCCATCATCTTCATTTGCCATTTCTCCATGGTGGGTAGTATTCAATCTATCCACTTTTGAGTATATAATAATCTCACTGCAGTTGAGTTACCGTGACTTTTTCTAGATGCCTCTCCATTAGGAAAAAAGCCTCTGGTTTCAATTGTGCTTTAGTTTAAAAACAAGGAATTGCTATATTATAATTGGTACGTTAGCCGAGGGCATGTTTCTCAACCTTTGGTAACTGGCTGGGGATTCTGGGAGTTGAAGTCCATGCATCTTAAACTTGCCAACATTGAGAAACACTCGTCTAGATTGCTAGTTGAAACACTAAAAATACGGCTGAAGATAAATTGTATCCTACTGTTATGTATTTTCCCATTGTTTGGAGTCCATGAAATTTTGTATATTCAATTACAGTACTGATAAATGTATACATATACATATATATATATTTGCATTTTACAGGTTCATCTAGCTCATTGGATCCACCATCTCTTAGTATCCAAAAACATATGATTACCATAGCTGCAAATGATACGTTACAGATTACTTGCAGGTAAGAAAGAAAGGTGATTATTATTGGTATTTAATGCATCGTCTTAATTTCTTCCCATGATACGCGACTATCTTGGGGATATGAACGCACACACAAAATAGTTACATAAAACAAAGAATACAAATAAAGAATTTTATTGTGCCCCAAACATTTCCAGGTGTTTCTTGACTCAAGCATTTGAAGCTTTTAACATTCAAAAGGACAAAAGAAAAGACACCCTATTGTCTTGAGTCTTTTATAAATTCTATTTACTTTGACTTTGCTGGTACCTTTAAAGAGCAAATGTCAATTATTCCATCATTCCCTATTGACCCTTTCTGTGTGTTCCCAATAGATCTGCCTGTATATACCTAGAATTAGAAGATACAGAACAGATAAATTCAGTCAATTCTTTCAAGCGATTAAAAAGGCTAAACTACTGTAGAGCGTGATTCTTTGGCTGCACAGGTAGAACTATGTAATTTTGTTAGAAACCTTGTAGAAGTGCTACGTTGTAGAGTCTTTTGAGATGTTTTCAATATCCAATAGAAATTCCCTGGCCATTTTCCATTCAGGAATGATGCTCCGATAATGCTGAACAAATATAAGAGACAACATTGGCTGGGGAATTCTGGGTGTTGAAGTTCACATATCTGAAAGTTGCCAAAGTTGAAAAACACTAGTCCAGACCATGTATTTGAAGGAAAGGCAAAACCCTTAATAGAGCAATAGGGTTGTTGTTTTCTTCTGTAGGAAATTACAATTCGGATAAAGAAATTAGGCTAAGGATTTGGCCAATGTTATCCGCTCATGTTCATCCAATTCTCCCTCCCTCTGGCCTCCGATGGTTATGGCGTGATCAGAGTGACCGCTTGTTGCCAGTTTAGGAAATTGGGTCCCTTATTTGCTCACCCCCAGTTTTTAACAATTCGCCATCCAATTAGGGACTGATTAATAGCTTGTGTTTAGCATAAGTGCTGCTACTATTGAATATATCCAAGTTGGCATCATATATGTTTAGATATCTGTGTTTATCATCTCTTGTTCTGGTGTTAGCCTTCTTCCCACTGTGTATAGAAAGGGAGGCGTCCCACTTTTTATTTTTGGAATATTGTTTAGCACATCCTTTTATGTGGGCTTCCTGTGTAAATCGTGGAAACATAGGCAGAAGCATCTACGGATGTTAATGGTGCTTTCTACTTTTTCATAAAAAAAAACAACGACATACTTTGTGGGGAGGGTTGAAGAACATCATTGGTTACAGCAGACCTCCCTCCCTTACTGAAGGGAACCGTCAACTGGCAGATGATCTGAATGTGTCCTTCTGTAGGTTTGAGAAAGAACACAATAGCCAAATTTCCTAAACCTATCTCCATCCCTCTAGGCCAGCGGTTCTCAACCTGTGGGTCGCGACCCCTTTGGGGGGTCGAACGACCCTTTCACAGGGGTTGCCTAAGACCATCGGAAAACACATATTTCCGATGGTCTTAGGAACCAAGACACCGCTCCTCTATCCGTCTCCAGGCGGCGGGTCTGTCCATGCTGGCGCCGAGGCCGGGGTCTGGCAGGGTCGGGCAGCGAGGCCGGGTGCTGGCGGAGGAGGAGGGGTGGGCCGCGTGGAGCTAGGCGCGGGGCAGGAGGGTGCTGAGGAGGCGGGCGCTGTGGCTCCTGCTGCTGCTGCTGAGGCAGCCGATCACGATGCAGAAGCACCACGGCATGGAGCGGGGCGGGCGGGCAGGCTGAGGGGGAGGCGCGGCCCTCCACATGATGAAATTGCAGGTGGCGGCGCCTCGCCAGCATGCGTGGCACTCCCGGGCCGAGGCGGTTGCTGGGCGACGGCCCGCGTGCGCCCTTGGTCTGCCCGGCACGCACTCCAGCCACAGGAGAGGAGGCGGAGCACATGTGCCAGAGAGAGAAAAAGAAAAAGTGAGTGAGTGAGTGAGTGAGTGAGTGAGAGAGAGAGAGAGAGAGAGAGAGAGAGAGAGAGAGAGAGAGAGAGAGTGAGCAAACCCCGCCCCTCCTCCTGCCCCCGCCCGCAGGGGTTGCGGCATTAGGAAGGTTGAGAACCACCTCTAGTAGGCCCTCCACCTCTAGTAGTCTTAGAAAAAGATGTGCAAGGCCTATTTCATAGAGAAAAGATTGGAAAAGCACCAAACCCAGAATGGAGTAACTCCTTGCTTGAAAGCTTGTGCTGAACACATGACACCAGTTAGATTAGAGAAAATGTTTAAAAACGTATCAAATATGTGTTGGAAATGTAAACAACAACCAGGCACTTATTACCATCTCTGGTGGATATGCCCTAATGCTAAGAAATTGTGGTTTAAGATTCATATGTGGCTAGAAAAGATAATAATAATAATAATAATAATAATAATAATAATAATAATAATAATAATAATAATAATAATAATAATAATAATAATAATAATAATAATAATAATAATAATAATAATAATTTAATTTATATACCGCCCTTCTCCCGCAGGACTCAGGGCGGTGATTAAAATACAGATAGAATTTAAACCAGAACTCCCGCAGGACTCAGGGCGGTGATTAAAATACAGATAGAATTTAAACCAGAACTCTTGTTTGCTAGGAATATTAGGCTTGAATTGTGGAAAAGAGAATGAGTATTTAATATTACATGTGTTAACAGCCGCGAGAATAACATTTGCCCAATTTTGGAAAAATGAAAATTTACCATCTGATCAGATTATAATAACAAAATTCAGAGTATTATTGTTGTTTAAATGACATAATTGTTTACTAATTTTTAATTTTAACTACCAATATGATATTATTATTATTGTGTTTATTAATTATATATTTGTTTAAAAGAGAGTTAAAGGTTATAGATTTGTTATGTTAATAGTTGATTAATGTTATTATTATTGTATAATTGTTTCAGATAGAGCTAAAGGAGGTTATAGATTAGTTATTCTTATAGTTGTTTAAAATTATTTAGAGTATGATTATTTTATTATTATTCCTGTGATTGGCTCTGGGAAGTGGGGGGAGGGAGGGGGGGGTGGAAGGGTGGGTTTTGGGGGGGATTTATATTGTAAAATGTTATAAAAATTTTAATAAAAAAGATTATAATAACAAAAATACTTGAATGTGCAGAAATGGATAGATTAACTTTAGAAATGAAAGAGAAAGAAGATACAATTTATTTTAAAACATGGGAAAAAATTTACCAATGGTTAGCAATACGATAGAATGAGAAAAGGTTATGAAACTTAAAGAGATAATTGATAATTTGTATTTATATTTCATGATTATTTGTATGAACTTGTCTTTTTCTGTTTTTTTTCTTTTTTTCGTATTTGTGATATATAGTAAATTATAACCAATAAGTAATATATTACTATTTTAAAGTTATTACAACTAATTAGTACTAAGCATTGTTAATTAGTAAAATGAATGAGATATATTCATTAACTTGTTATTTACATGACTATCTTGAAAGCTGTTTAATACTAGAGTAATTATTAAGATTTAATATGTATACCCGGACGGGTTTACTTGCTGAAGCGATGTTATTTTGTGGGATTGATCCCACTTTTGTGTATACCCCCTTCCTTTGGTTTAACCCTTTTGTATGTCTCCCTTTGTTCTACCTCTGTTGACCCTATTCCCTTGTTACCCTTAAAAAACTCAATAAAATATTTGTTAAAAAAAAAGAAATAGAAAGCTTGTGCCGAACAACTGGCCCCCATCCTCACCCAGATCTTTAATAAATGACTGGAGATGTGTTATGACCCTTCTTGGTTCAAATGCTGAATGACTATAGGCTGGTTGCTCTGACATCCGTAGTCATGAAGGCCTTTGAGAGGTTAGTGCTAGCCCACCTTAAAGTCATCACAGACCTGCTGTTAGACCCCTTGCAGTTTGTCTGCCAAGCAAATAGTTTGGTGGATGACGCTGTCAATATGGCGCTGTATCTTGCAACATGTTGAATTCTCTATGCAGGGGTCTTTTTTGTAGACTTCAGCTCAGCAACAGGTGAAGGTAGGGAAAATTACATCTAGTACCCCAGTAGTTAGCACAGGTGTACTTCAGGGCTGTGTGTTCTCTCCATTGCTCTTCTCTTTATATACCAATAGTTGCATGTCTAGGGATCCCTCTCTTAAAGAATTGAAATTTGCCGATGATACAACAGTCATTGGTCTCATTCGAGTCTGCACATAGACGGGAAGTCGAACAACTGACCCTGTGGTGCAGCCGGAACAATCTGGAGCTGAACAGGCTTAAAACTGTAGAGATGATAGTAGATTTTAAGAGGAGCCCTGCTATTCTACCATCTCTTACTATATTTGACAGCACAGTATCAGCAGTAGAGTCCTTCCAAGTTTGGGGGACCTATAATCTCCCAGGACGTGAAATGGACATCTGACATTAGAACCATCATTAAAAAGGCACAACAAAGAATATTCTTCCTGCGTCAACTCAGGGAATTCAGACTGTCCCAGGAGCTGTTGATACAGTTCTACACAGGAATTATTGAGTCTGTCATTTGTACTTCTGTGACTGCCTGGTTTGGTACAGCAATTAAACAGGACAGGTACAGACGCCAACGGATAGTTAGGCCTGCAGAAAGAACAATTGCAACCAGCCTGTATATTGTGTGGGTGAAGCAGGGCTGAGAAAATATCTACAGACCCTCGTATCCTGGACATAAACTGTTTCAGCTCCTCCCCTGCTATAGGGCAGGGGTAGGCAACCTTGGCTCTTTTATGACTCGTGGACTTCAACTCCCAGAATTCCTGAGCCAGCCATGCTGAGGGGAAAGGGAGAGGTTTCCAAGCTGAGCCATGCTGGCTCAGAAATTCTGGGAGTTGAAGTCCATGAGTCATGAAGGGGCCAAAGTTTCCCTCATGCTGGCTCAGGAATTCTGGGAGTTGAAGTCCATGAGTCATGAAAGAGCCAAGGTTGCCTACCCCTGGTCTAAACCTTGCTGTTGAAAATAAGCCATTAAGTGCTGCTGAATTCTGGGAGTTGAAATCCACGAGTCATAAAAGAGCCAAGGTTGCCTACCCCTGCTATAGGGCAAAACATTTTTCCCCCTTGTGCCATCAAACTGTTGAACAACTAATTTCCACAATACTGCCTAATGTCTGTGTAGATAGACATTATGTAATATGGCAGTAGTAATATTATTATCCTTATTATTATGTTTACTACCCCCTCTTATTGGTATTATTATTGTTACGATTATTATTATTTTGTTCCATGCATATACACAGAGAGCTTTGGCACTGGAGACAAATTCCTTGTGTGTCTAATCACACGACCAAATAAAGTATTCTATTCATATATAGCACAAGAAAGATTTTTTTTCATGCATATGGTTGCATAGAAACTTTAAAATTGTTTTTAGTCATGGCTGATTTAACACCCTTCGATTTTAATGGACACCATCTAAGACTAGCTCAAACTAGACTCAATCCACTGATCCAGTTTTAAGCATTCAAATATTTCAGCTCAGGAATCAAAGACAGTTTAGATAAATTATGGTTAGGGAAGCTTAAGATAGATTTGGGCAGTTCACGGTGAGATTAGTAAAACAAACAAAAAAGATGAAACAGCCATTCTCCACATTAACACCAACTTATGCTGTATATCACCTCCAATAATGCTTCAGTCAAACAGTTACATCCTATATTTGGTGAACTCTTTCCTTTTTGAAAGAGATGGTGGAACAGAAATGTGAAAAATAGATAGATAGATAGATAGATAGATAGATAGATAGATAGATAGATAGATAGATAGATAGATAGATAGATAGATAGATAGATAAACCCATTGCAATTTGGTAATGGAGGAGCTAAACAAATAGAACATCATGCTAAACTTGGAAAGTGTGATTTGAGTTTTGAAAGACAGTGGTTACATTTAAAATGAGCACAACTATTTTTTTAAAATAGTTAAAAACTAAATTCTCATGCACGTAGATCTTGTTCAGTGGATCACAGATACATAAGTGAATACATTCCATTAAACATGACTGTATTTGAAGTGACTGCCTTTTGATGGCTTTAACAATGTTGATGCAGGCCATTAATGGAGAATGCCATAGGGCTCACATATCCTTAAGTAGCTTATGGATTTCTCTTTTTACTCCCCAGTGGTGAGAGGGCTTTGGATTGGCTTTTGCCTAACAATCAAACCGACATGGAAAACCGAGTCGCGCTGACGGAGTGTTCCAGTGATACCTATTGTAAGATGCTCACTCTGACAGAAGTAATAGCCAATGACACGGGGTCCTACAAGTGTTTTTACCAAGACAACCATGCCTCATCAAGTGTTTATGTTTATGTACAAGGTAGGAGCATGCTGGGATAATGACCTTTTTCTGTTTAACGAGAAAATGGCTTAATATTGTGTCATGTGAACCTCAACAAAAACTCATCCTCTCGATCCCACCATGCCAATCACAAATGGGCATGAGTACAACAGTGCCTTCTCATTTGTGTTCTCCAGCAACTGGTACAAAGAGGCAAGTATTCTCCAAATTCCAAATATACCTAAACTTTATAACAAAACTCCGCTAATAGGTTCTCCTAAACCAGGGGTAGGCAACCTTGGCTCTTTTATGACTGGTGGACTTCAACTCCCAGAATTCCTGAGCCAGCATGGCTCAGCTTGGAAACCTCTCCCTTTCCCCTCAGCATGGCTGGCTCGGGAATTCTGGGAGATGAAGTCCACCAGTCATAAAAGAGCCAAGGTTGCCTACCCCTGTCCTAAACCAATTGATTAAATTGGCTTTAGGAACCCACACAAATTGGTGGGCCTTACAACCACATTTGCAAGCATTGCCCACATTCACTTCATGTCATGAAGGAGAATGTTCTTTTATTTCCTTATTTGTTCCGTATTTGTTCTATAACGGAGGCGAACCTATGGCACGTGTGCCAGAGGCGGCACTCAGGAGCCGTCTCTGTGGGCACACGTGCGTTGCCCCAGCCTTGCCTCCCCCCATGACCCACTCACCAGCAGCCCCCCTGGAGGAGAGTTGCCCCCGAGCGTGGCCCACGCGGAGCAGCACAGCCAAAGACATGGCAGCCAGGCAGCGTGGACAAGTCTCTGCCCTTATGCCCCATCGCGCACAGTTGATACTGCGGGGTGCGGGCAGAGGGAGTGGCCGCCATGGTGCTGCTGGGCTGCCTGGGCAATCTGCGGCAGGCCCTGGAGGTGGTTAGTGGCCCTGCGGGCAGGCAGGGTGGAGGACCGAGTGGAAGTGGAGTGGGAGCGGGGCGGAGGGTGGAGTAGGACGGGGCCAGTTTTTGGGCACTCGGTCTCTAAAAGGTTCGCCATCACTGTTCTATAACAACAATACCCTCCAGATCCAGAAAGAGCCCAACAGACTTGAACACTAGGCCCTATCTAACAAAATGAAATTCAGTGGTGAGAAAAGTAAGGTTTTACACTTAAGCAAGAAAAACCAAATGTGAGTGAAACTTCTCACAATAGCAGTAACGGTGAGAGGGACCTCGGAGTCCTAGTGGACAATCCGTTAAATATGAGCCAGCAGTGTGTTGCAGCAGCCAAAAATGTCAATGCAGTCCTAGGCAGCATTAATAGAGGGATAGAATCAAGATCACATGAAGTATTAGTACTACTAAGTAAGGCCTTGGTAAGACCATACTTGGAACACTGCATCCAATTTTGGTCAACGTGATATAAAAAAACATGTTGAGACTCTGGAAAGAGTGCAGAGAAGAGCAACAAAGATGATCAGGGGGCTGGAAGCTAAACAGCTGCAGGAATTGGGCATGTCTAGTCTAATGAAAAGAAGGAACAGAGGTGACATGATAGCAGTGTTCCAATATTTGAGGGGCTTCCACAAAGAAGGAGTCAATCTATTTTCCAAAGCACCAGAAGGCAAGACAAGAAACAATGGATGGAAACTAATCAAGAAGAAACACAACCTGGAACTAAGGAGATACAGTGTTTCCTAATAATGAGAGCAATTAACCAGTGGAATGGCTTGCCTTCAGAAGTTGTGGGTGCTCCATCACTGGAGGCTTTTAAGGAAACTGGACAACCGCTTGTCTAGAATGGGATAGAGTCTCCTGCTTGAGCAGGGGGTTGGGCTAGAAGACCTCCAAGGTCTCTTCCAACTCTGATGATGTTCTATGTTCTATTTGTTTTGAATCTTCATTCAGATTTGTTGGATTCCGCTAACATGAGAGAAAGCGAAAGTAATCTTCTGATGCATTTTTTTCAGTACCATTTTCTCCTTTATCCTTTTCCAAACTTAACAAGTCCCAAACGTTGCGATTATTCCCAAACAGGAAGTTTTGACAGCTTTTTTTTTTCCTGCACATTCTTCTGTTTCGGAATATATATGTATATTGAAATGAAGCAATCAGACTGGGCACACTGTGTTCCAAATGAAGTTGAATTATAGATTATTCCTGACAGCTCTGCTTGCAGTTTTTTTCCTAATTATCATGAGGATAATCAGGCTGTAAAAAAGTGAATTAAAAGGGCTCATGGAATTTTTCGCATCTGTTACTTTTTAAGAAAAGAGAAACTTGGCTCCAGTTGCTGTTATTTCGCAATAGTCAGTACCGGCAGGACTGTAGAATAGTTACATTTCTGCAGAATATGATGGTGCGGAAACACGTATAAGGGCTGGCATTAGATATGTAGTCAGTTTACAGGCCATTGGGAATTTGTGCTGGCTTGTTGTTATATTGCTAAAACAGGTGCTGAATGTGTTGCCCCCAACAATTTGGGTCCTCATTTTACCAGCCTCGGAAGGATGGAAAGCTGAGTCAACCTTGAGCCCCATCACGATCGAACTCCAGGCAGTGGGCCGAGTCAGCCTGCAATATTTCATTCTAACCACCGCACCACCAGGGTTATAAAACAGTGCACACTTAAACTACAGCCAGCGTTCCTCTTTAGCTTTCGTTCTTGTTTGACTGATCTATGAGTTTTGAGGAACTGCCCCAATTCATAGTTCACCCCTGGTGACATCAGTGTTCAATCTCCTATAACAGTGATGGCGAATCTTTTAGAGACTGAGTCCCAAACTGCAACCCCAAACCCACTTATGTATCGTCGAGTGCCGGGTGGGTGTGGCCCATTGGGTGGGTGTGGCCCATTGGATGGGCATGGTTGCGGAGAACGGCAGACTGGGTGGGACTAAAAAGTTCAATCAATCAATTCCAACTTTGCGAGATTTTTTTTTTTTTCATGAGAAGTTGAAATTGGTTGATTGATTGATTGAAGATTTTTTTTTTTTTTTTTTTTTTTTGCACACAATGGCAGAGGCCTAAAGCAAAAAGGTTTTATAAAACCCAGCTGAAGGCCTAGGACTGGGGCGATGTGCGCGGGCCCACAGAGAGGGCTCTGCGTGCCACCTGTGGCACGCGTGCCATAGGTTCGCCACCACGGTCCTATAAGTACAGTCGGTGGACTCCAACTCCTAGGATAGATTGCTGTGAATGAATTGCTTTCAATAAGAGAATTCTTGAAGTTCAATGATATTTAGATTTTCTATATTCTTCAGATTACAGATCTCCATTTGTGATGTCAGCCAATGAGCTTGGGGTTGTGTATATAACCAGAAACAAAACTGTGGTGATTCCATGCCTCGGATCCTCACCAAACCTGAATGTGTCACTCCATGCAGTAAGGCGAACGATCATATTTCATTTTGTCAGTGATTCTAGCTCTTTTTTATTTTCATGGTGACGTCACATATTTTACATTTGAGGCAGATGGTCTGATAACTGGGTAAAATAATGTAAATAGAAAGGGGAAATTAGGTTATGAAACATACTTCCATAATTTACTAGGTGCAAGGTGCATAACCTGTGGCCCAATATTAGATTAGTCTTGATGTGACTTCCAAAACCCTTCCCCAAAATGATGACGTGTTTGTAAATTTAAACCTGGCAGAATGGAAACATAATTCAGCGCATGGAGAATAATCATTGCAATGCATTTGCATTTAATTACCTTTCATTTTTATTATGTTTCAGTTGAAATTTGATTTAGACTTTACTGATGTCTTACCTCCCGACATGCCATTCAAAAGTCAAATGGGGCCTTTTAGTTCTGCATCTAACTGCTAGGTTATTTTAGAGAACATCCGGATTAAAGTTATTGTTGTTTTGTTGTTCATGTAGAAATATCCAGAGAAAACATTTGTTCCTGATGGAAAGTCAGTTATCTGGGATAATCAAAAGGGTTTCACAATTCCCGCTAACCTGATCAGTGATGTAGGGATGATCTTCTGCAAAGCTAAGGTAGATGGTGAAAGCTATCAATCCGTGATGTACGTCGTGGTGGTTTTAGGTAAGCAATAGGCTTTGTTTATTTATTTGGGTGTTTATAAAGCAACTATTTGGAAAATGAGAATTTAAAATACCACAATAGATTGATAATCAAAAGGGGAAGATAAAGTCCCACTCAGATGGAACTTAATGATCTGGTATTGTTGCTGTTGGTTGTGAAGTCGTGTGCGACCCATCGCGACCCCATGGACAATGTTCCTCCAGGCCTTCCTGTCCTCTACCATCTTCTGGAGTCCCTTTAAGCTCATGCCTACTGCTTCAGTGACTCCATCCAGCCACCTCATTCTCTGTCGTCCCCTTCTTCTATTGCCCTCAATCTTTCCCAGCATTAGGCTCTTCTCCAATGAGTCCTTCCTTCTCATTAGGTGGCCAGAGTATTTGAGTTTCAACTTCAGGATCTGGCCTTCTAAAGAGCAGTCAGGTTTGATCTCCTCTAGGACTGACCGGTTTGATCACCTTGCGGTCCAGGGGACTCGCAGGAGTCTTCTCCAGCACCAGAGTTCAAAGGCCTCAATTCTTTGGCGCTCAGCCTTTCTTATGGTCCAACTTTCACAGCCATACATTGCAACTGGGAAAGCCATGGCCTTGACTATACGTACTTTTGTTGGCAGGGTGATGTCTCTGCTTTTTAGTATGCTGTCTAGATTTGCCATAGCTTTCCTCCTCAGGAGCAAGCGTCTTTTAATTTCTTGGCTGGAATCCCCATCTGTGGTGATCTTGGAGCCCAGGAAGATAAAATCTGTGACTACCTCCATTTCTTCCCCATCTATTTGCCAGGAATTGAGAGGGCCGGATGCCATGATCTTGGTTTTCTTAATGTTGAGTTTCTTGGTTTTCTTAATGACCTGGTAGCTGACATCAATTTTTTTTTCTTGAAACACTTTTTATTGCTTTTTTTTTCAGTACAGATAGTCCTCAACTTATGACCACAACTGAGTCCAAAGTTTCTATTGCTAAGCAGGGCAGTTGTTAAGTGAGTTTTGCCCTTTCTTGCCACAGTTGTTAAGTGAATCACTGAAGTTGTTAAGGTAGCAACATGGTTACTAAGTGAATCTGGCTTCCTCCATTGACTTTGCTTGTCAGAAGATCACAAAAGGGGATCACATGGGCCCGGAACACTGCGACCGTCATAAATATGAATCGGCTGCCAAGCGTCCCGTTTTTGATAATGTGAGCATAGGGATGCAGCGGTCATAATGTGAAAAACAGTTCATAAGTCCCTTTTTTCAGTGCCGTTGTAACTTGGAATGGTCACTAAATGAACTGTTGTAAGTTGAGGACTACTATATGTTCTCTTTCGCTCTTCTAATGTTCCGGTACAACTTACAGTTTCCAAGGATTTCAGATGTCAATGTTTATTGATAGACTCGCTGTTTTGAGCTTTATCAATTCTAGTTAAAACATTTAGCTAATCAATTCAACGTTCATCATCAAGAAGTTTCCACAGACTGGACAAGTAGCAAAGCCTCAATGTCTTTCTCCTGAGTAGCAGAATTAAATGGGATTTATGCACTGTTTGCATTTGGGGCCAAAAATACTGTTTTTTAAAATTTGTTTCTGACTACTCGTTTCCCCATGTCATTTGTTCATTTCCCACTTTGTATGTTGTCTACATGACTTTTGGTGGAGTTTCACTTCTCTATTTGTCCCCCTCCATTTAGGTTATAAAATCCATGAACTTAATGTGAGCCCTCTGCACCACGTCGAGCTGGCAGCAGGAGAGAAGCTATCCTTAAATTGTACCGCCAGGACCGAGCTGAATGTGAGAATTGAGTTTCAGTGGGATTACCCTTCGAAACAGGTAACAGAAACAAGGGGGCCTCCAAATCAAAGGATTTGCTAAGAGGCCATGTTGGGTGTTACTCTTTTTTTTAAAAAAAATATTCCAAATGCATTGATCAAAGCAATCCATTTGAGTCATCAGACTAGTCCGCCACACTTGGAATACCGCATCCAGTTTTGGTCACCACGATGTAAAAAAGATGTTGAGACTCTAGAAAGGGTACAGAGAAGAGCAACCAAATGTTTAGGGAACTGGAGGCTAAAATATATAAAGAACAGTTGCTGTAATTGGGTATGTCTAGGGTTTTGCTTCTCATCCAGAAGATTCTTCAGCTCTGACTGGATGGTGGGAAATGGTCATTTGGGACAACCATGACCTGGATGACTGAGAATCTCCGTAGACATTTAGCTATGCACTTGGGGATGAACACCCTTCGAATGGTGCAGGAGTATGAATGGATTTCCAGAAAACATGGCAGATTACAGGAACCGTTTCAGCTTGAGCTGCAGACAACACAAACTCATCCCCAACAGCCTGTGCCTGTCTTCAACAGTGAAGGAACACAGGGCAGAAAACATCCTGCAGCCAAGAAGGCTCCACACCCATTTGCACCACTCAGGTGACCCTGAAGACACAGGTGAACCTCCAAGTGGCCTCAACGGCTCTCTAAAAGAATTCAAATGACCAGCTGTCTGCAAGGAATATAAATCCTTCCATTCCCCACCATCCAGTCAGAGCTGAAGAAGCTTCTTGGATGAGAAGCGAAATGTCTTCAAAGAAAAACAAGAAAGTCCAACTGCCTCCTGAAAAAGCTCCTGTGGGACAATAAGAGGGATGATGTTCATCTACTCTAGTGGCTACATCAGGTAAGTTTGTCCCAGGAGTCAGAGACCTAATGCTAATAAATATATAGTCACTGTTTTCTTCCTTCTGGTCTAATTACCCATTTTAAGCCATTGGGACATCTGCTGGGTTGTGAGTCAAAATCTGCAAGATTTTGGACACAGCATTGTGCCTACATGGATCTTTGATTGTAATGCTTTCTCATGAACCATCCCAGTCTCCAGGTGAGGGAAAGCTGGAAGGATAATGCTGAGTAAATGACGTTGAACTCTGTTGCAGAGAATGAATGCTGCATTCAGGGATGTGATGACCCCCTTGGGCAGCGAAATGAAGAAGTTTGTGAGCACCCTCACCATTGAACACGTGACTTTAAGTGATGCGGGTCTGTATACCTGCACGGCCACCAACAGCCTGATGACAAAGAAACACAAAATTAATGTCATTGTTCACGGTAAGGCTTGATTTGGGGTGGGACTAGGGCTTTACAGTCCTAAAATGTGAGCTCCCGGGAGAGACCATGAAAGTGATTGTCCACAAAATCAAGGCAAACAGCTTGAGCCCAACTTTCGTTCATCTTCAGAAGCCAGTGGTTCTCAACCTGTGGTCCGCGGACCCCTGGGGTCCGCGATGACATCACAGGGGGTCCGCAAAGACTTGAAAAAAATGTTATGATTTAAATCTTGAGTTAGGTCTTGTCCGTGGCCACAACAGGTATTTAAAGGGGGTCCTTGGTGAAGAAAAGGTTGAGAACCGCTGCTATAAGCTAATAAGCTACCTTCTTTTTGAGGATGGCCAAAAGTAAAATGAACGTATGGTCTACAAATAAGAGCCACTTACATTTGAATAGATGAGGGGAAAAGTGCCTTGCTAGATCACAAGTGAACATGTTTAGAAATGCCAGACAGCTGTTGGAATAAATTCTTCCCTCTTCTAGCATTCCCCTTCATATTGTTGACTAGCTGCTGTCAAAAAGGTTCGGTAATGATAGGGTAAGACAGTTTCAATCAGTGTAGTATCAGAATCAGTTAAATATACAGTATCGTGCAGAGCAGGAGTCTTCAAACTTGGCAACTTTAAGACTCGTGGACTTCAACTCCCAGAATTCCTCAGCCTGGTTGAGGAATTCTGGGAGTTGAAGTCCACAAGTCTTAAAGTTGCCAAGTTTGAAGTCCCCTGGAGTAGAGTCTGAGTTAAATTCACCCTGAATCAGAGAACCTGAATTGGTGCGCTAGGACCAGTGTCTCTCTTTCAAGCTAACATATAGTTGTTAGAAAAGAATTGGAGGAGAAAATACTATCTACACAGTCTTGAGTTCCTGAAGCAAAGGTAGAGTAGAAATCTAACAAATAATTAAGGAATGAAAATTTGATCTGGAATATCCCCCCTTTCACAAATGCCTAGTCTTAGCAGAAAATTGCAAAGTGAGCAAGGTTGTTCGAAATGAGACATCAGAAGTAACTTCAACCTAGAATCCCCCGTCTACTAAGACTTCCTAACGAAAACTCTCATCAACTTCAACCAGCATGGCCATGCTGGACTAAATAAGCTAACTTTAAATATTGATAAGATTGATTTTCTCCATATTCGTCAGCATCAAATTTAGCTGTTATTATTCACCCAACACTGTGATAATCTTGACTGAGAGACTTTGTGGTTTGATGAATGGGTTCAAACATGTGCTAGCTAAGCTGCTGGGTCTTAGTTTGGCAAAAAACATGGCTTATTGTGTCCGTAAGCAGTCTACTGTGGCTTGTTGCACAAACTATGGCTTAGCTGGATATCCATATTGGTCAATTCAGTGGTTTTTTTTTTTAACCATAGGTAAGTGAAATAAACATCATAAGATGATTGTTTTGAGAGGTTAACGGTTGGTTTTGGTTTCTAAAGCCAATAAGCAATTTGAAAACTGTGTTTCTTACTAGGGGTAGCAACATCCATTATATTATTAATATTATCACCTATATCAGGGGTAGGCAACGTTGGCTCTTTTATGACTCATGGACTTCAACTCCCAGAATTTCTGCTGGCTCAAGAATTCTGGGAGTTGAAATCCATGAGACATAAAAGAGCCAACGTTGCCTACCCCTGACCTATATTGTCCATTGTTTTAAATAATTGTCTTTTAACTTTTTGATAGAAAAGCCTTTTCTCTTTTTGGGTAAAATGCCACTTCGGGTGGAGACCATTCTCAGAGAACCAGCGAAAGTTCCTGTATTATTCAAAGCCTATCCACCTCCAGAAGCAAAATGGTAAGAACCTCAGCAAATCTTATTCTTTTTTTTAGCTTCTCCCCCTTTCTGTATACATTTTACAATGTCCAATCACATAGAAACATTGAAGTTCTAAAAGAAAATGCTGAGCTTCTGATTTCTTTGTGAACGGCTGTAGAAAGCAATAAAGTTTTATGCTTTTGTTATTATGGTGATGTTATTTACTATAAAACTATACACTTAGCGTTTAACTGCTTCCATTTTCTTTTAAATTTATCTTTTCAAACAAATGAAAATCCCTATTTAGCCCTGAACTTCACTGAGAATTGCAAATAGATAACTCTAACCTAATCTTAGGAATATTTTGCAGGCAAAATTAGATTCTCTCGTTGCAAGGTCCTGAGAATGTAGAAAGCAGAAGGTGGTTAGATTGTTTTATTATCAGTTCTCTCTCTCCTCACCTCTCAAGCCACGGAATCAACTTATGTTTTGCAGGTATAAAAATGGAGAAGCCATTGTCGCAAATCGTACCCTGAAACTTGGTTACTCTTTAATGATTACTGAAATAAGTGAAAAGGATGCTGGGAATTACACCGTGGTGCTGACCAATCCCATTAACAAGCAGCGTGAGAAGCACATGTTTCATCTGGTGGTAAACGGTAAAATCTTGTTCCATGCCAAAAAAAAAAAAGCTACACTCTGCAATTGCTAATACACTGGGGGGGGGGAAGTGGTATCACGTTCTCTATTAATTTTAGAGAGATTTGTTCCTCAAGCATCATGCGCCAAGAATAGGTACATCTGTAGTTATCAAAAGCAGGGCTTTTCAACCAGTGGTACGGGTACCACCTGTGGTACATTGGCACCTGGCAGGTGGTACGCGGCCATCCTAGAAAAGTGGTAGCCGGGGAGGGGAATGAGTTGAACCGGTGGCAGCACCGCACAAGCCTGAGCGAGAGATGGCTGGAGCTGCAGGGCTGTCAGGGCTCAGCGGAAGCGCCAGGATCAGCGCTACTTCGGGACTGTCAGGGCTCAGTGGAAGCGCCAGGATCAGCACCAGGCTCCAGCTGGAGCTCGGTGCTGATCCTGGCACTTCTGCTGAGCCCCGAAGAAGCGCCGATCAGCTGGAATGTTGCAGCATGTCCAGGGTCTTGTGATTTACATTCAGATGCTTGGCAATTGATTCATATTTATGATGGTCACAGTGTCCCAGGGTCATGTGAAGTGACCAAAACCTGCTGCAACCACCCAGCAGACGGGGGGGAATAAAAACCAAACACCCCCTACCCCACCCCCACTGCCAATCCTCAACAGAAATGCTCACAACAATGAAAACCTCGGACAGGAGGAAAAATAGTTTTCTAAATGTTTATGAGTTTGTAAAATATAGTTCTGACACAAGAAGACGAACTTTGGATTAATATTTTGAGGCTTTGAGAAGTCAAGAGAATTTGATGATTTCACCCAAGGCTTCATTGGGGATGATCGGGGTTGGTCACCCCCATATTTTTGTTCCTCCTTCTCTGGATGGTATCTCCCAAAGTAGGCATCCTAACCTTTAGGGTCCTTGGATGTCATAAAAAAATAAATGTGGTTTCTGGCCGATCATATAAAGGTTGCTTTCCGTTGACTTTAAAGTGCCATGAGAATTAAGGTGGGGTGTTTTCTCTTTTTCAGTGCTGAAATAGAACCTGGACTTTTTACAATCATAGGCAAGCAGCAAAAAAAACCCCAATATAGGTTAATGCATGGGTAGACAACCTTGGCTCTTTTATGACCCGTGGACTTCAACTCCCAGAATTCCTGAGCCAGCCATGCTGAGGGGAAAGGGAGAGGTTTCCAAGCTGAGCCATGCTGGCTCAGGAATTCTGGGAGTTGAAGTCCACGAGTCATAAAAGAGCCAAGGTTGCCTACCCCGGGTTAATGTATGTAGAGCCAGATGCATTTGTTTTATTTGACTTCAGGAACCTCCTCTGTTTATTTATTTTTGGAGGAGGGGAACGAGGCAGGCTTTTGAAAATCCCATTTTGTTACAGAAAGAATGTTGTTTTCAATTTGCTGTATATTTTGGTTTGGGTTTTGTGTCCTGGTCTTTTCCTGTCTTCATGCTTCTTCTAACTCCTGGACTACATTGTTTACTTCCCATTACCTCGCCCATCCTGCCATCTTGAGCTTCACCCTTTGCCTCCCTTCTTCCTTTGCATCCTCAAAAAACTTCCTTGCCTTTGCTTTAAAAAAAATAATAATAGCGAGGTGGTGGTTCAGGAAGAACAGCATCCCACAATTAGCAACTACCATACCCAAGTACTGCTATGGAGTGATGTTGATCACTTAATAAGAAAGGGGCCATGCTGGCTGAACCAGTGTTCATGAAATGGACAGCCATTTGTCCAGAATCATATAAGGCAGACATGTCAAACACAAGGCCCGGGGGCCGGATGCGGCCCGCGAAGTGGTTTCATGTGGCCCGCGAAGCCATCCTGGAAACAGTGAGGGAACGGCCCCCGCTGCCATGGCCCTGGCCCAGGCTGACCCGGAGCCAATGTACAATTTTGTGGTGGCCATCTATGCTGAAACGCATTCAGTCTTAGCTCCACAAGGCCGATTGGAAACAGCGAGGAACCAGCCCCTGCCGCATCGGCCCCATCCCCTGGGTGCATGCTGGGGAGGTGTCACCCTTTGTGAGGAATGAAGAAATGCACCATCGCCTGGAAGTGGCCAGCAAATGGCCCTCACCTACTTCACATATCCGGCTTCATGGGCTCCGGCGGAGGGGTTTCAGCAGGCAGTGAGGCGCCTCCAGTGGACCATGCCTTGGCGCTTGCCCCGGTCCCACCCGCTTCTGCCAGAGACCCTCAGATCTGTCCCACTCCTGCCCAGGCCCCCACAGGCACCCTTGACGCGAACGATGTAGAGCTGGCCATGCCCACCCAATAGGCCGCACCCACTCCATCCACACCCACCCAGTAGGCCACACCCACCCGGCCACCCGAGGGCAACTGCAATGCTGATGTGGCCCTCAATGAAATTGAGTTTGACACCCCTGGTATAAGGTCTCCTGCTTCTTCAAGGGGTTGGACTAGAAGACCTCCAAGGTCCCTTCCAAACCCTTTCTGTTATTCGGTTCAATGCTTCAGGATGGTAACAAGGAGCAAAGAGCAGTTTGTCCCTTTCAGAATCTGACTGCACCTAAGGAAGAATCAATTATATAGATGTCATGAATTATTTGGTGGTCCTTTAACTGTGTGACGAATGAGTAAGGAAGCAGATTTTTTTTCTCTCTCTCTCTGCCACGATGCATTCTAGGGCAACATTCTTGTTTTTTTCTCCTAGAAATGAATTAACCTTTCACTTAAATTGGAATAAGAAAAGAAAGGGACTAAATGGTTGATCAGAAAAAAAAAGTACCATTGGGTTGGTTGGCATGCAGCCCTAAGTCACAATGTGGTTGCTTATTTTTCATGTAGTAGGAAGCTCAAACCAAACTTGGTTTAACATTCTAGTTGAAGGTTGAGTTCATTGTCCTGTTATTATTCCCTACAATTGGTAGTTGGGAGATAGAGAAAGCTTGGAGGCCTCGTGATTGCGAGCCGTTGATGACTTCTCCTCCAGTACCATCAACTTGTCAAATCCCATATCTAACAGTCTTCATCAGATCTTCTGGTAGCAGTTTCATTAAGGCAGGGGTGTCAAACTCAAATTTCATTGAGGGCCACATCAGCATGGCGGTTGCCCTCAGGGGGCCAGATGGGTGTGGCCAAGGTGGGTGCGGCCTACTGAGGGCGTGGATGGAGTACGTGTGGCCTACTGGGTGGGCATGGCCAGCTCTACATCGTTCGCGTCAAGGGGGCCTGTGGGGGCCTGGGCAGGAGTGGGACAGATCTGAGGGTCTCTGGCAGAAGAGGGTGGGACCAGGGCAAGTGCCAAGGCATGGTCCACTGGAGGAGCCTCACTGTTCCTCTCAGGCCATGCAGGGGGGTGTTATGGAGCTAAGACTGAATGCGTTTCAGCATAGAGGGCCACCACAAAATTGTACATTGGCTCCTGGCCGGCCTGGGCCTGGGCCAAGGCAGAGGGGGCCGTTCCCTCACTGTTTCCAGGATGGCTTCGTGGGCCACATGAAACCACTTCGGGGGCCGCATTCGGCCCCCGAGCCTTGTGTTTGACATGTCTGCATTAAGGCATCATTTGCGGAAAACTTCCTTTTTCAAGTCCTACAGTAAATCTCTCATCCAGGGTTGGCAGACGTTAAAGTTCTCTCTAATGAAAGTAACCGAAAGGGAACGCTAGACATCGTTTCTTATTAGCCAGTGAAGGAGCGAAAAGGGGAAATACTGGTGACCGGCCCTGATTAAATAGATTTCTGTTTGAAAGTGCAGCAATGAATGTTCTTCAAAGTTCTGATTTTCGAAGCACGTCCCTCTCTTCTCACAGAATGGCTTCCTGCCGACTGCTGCTCATTTATTTATCTTTTCCTCTGGCAGTTCCACCTCAGATTGGGGAGAATGCTCTCCTGTCTTCTGTGGATTCGTACAAGTATGGCTCCACCCAAACTCTGACGTGTACAGTGTATGCGGTCCCAATGGTGAGCCACATTCAGTGGTACTGGCAATTGGAAGAGGAATGCACCTTCAATCCACAGTAAGTAGAACGCCATTTTCCCACCTTTGATTTGATACGATTATATTGCGTTGGTGGACTTGTTTAGATCTCTCTTCACAAACCTGTCCTCCTCTTCTTCTTTTTTTAAACAAATTTTATTGGTTTTTTTAGTTCTTAATACAAAGTGCTCGAGACACACCGTGGTGCTGGGGCAATCAAAAATTCAAAAACAAAGCATATATAAGTAACTCAATCAGTACATCAAATATTCCCTCTCTATTTCCCTCAAATAGCTTATATATTTAAAATAGTCTATTTCTAACTTAAATTTCTATTTAATCCTAGACCTCTTTTAGAGCTTTATGCGATTACAAGACCATAATCAAATTTAACTGTAAATACACACATTATCAGTTCAGGTATCCCTTCCAAATATATCCTAATTCTTTGATTTCATCATAAATCTTATTTCCACTAATATCTCCTAGTTAAGATAAAATATTAATCTATCCTATATATATCTAATCCATCAATCAATCGATTTTGAGCTAAACAAAATAATATCAACCTTAAATCATTTGAATCCCTTAAACAAAGTTCTGATTTCATCCAATTAATTATCAAACCTAATAATATCCATATTATCAAACAAAACACATCATCTTATTAGAATCACATTCAATTAATTATTAGTTCAAATCCCGATCTAGAACATCTCTTCATTTTTCTTCATTCCATTATATAATAATTTTCATGCAAATAAGCCTATTAATCCAAAATATACATTCTTACTGTCCTCTTCTGATCCTTCGGAAAATTCTTCCCCCGGAAGTGAGGCAGCCTCCCCCTTCTCCTGGTCTTCTGAAAAGGGGTTAAAACATGGTTCTGTAACCATGCTTGGGGAACCCAAAAGAGTCGTGGGGTTGATTAGTGTCACAAGAGCCCTTCCTTTGCCTTCGTCCACCAAATTTTAACAGGGTTAATCTTGCCTTCTTAATATGTATATGTGAGAGTCAAATTTTTGAGTTATTTTTTTTTTAAATTATAATTTTAAATAATTTTAAAAAAAATTAACTCAAAAATTTGACTCTCACATTTTAATTTCTTATATATACAGTTTTATATGTCAATGTTTTATTGTTTTCACCACCCAGAACCTCTCTTTGAGAGAGATAATAATAATAATAATGATGATGATGATGATGATGATGATGATGATGATGATGATGATGATGATGATGATGATGATGATAAAGTTGGAAGGGACCTTGGAGGTCTTCTAGTCCAACCCCCTGCTCAGGCAGGAAACCCTATACCATTTCAGACAAATGGCTGTCCAGTCTCTTCTTAAAAACTTCCAGTGTTGGAGCATTCACCGCTTCTGGAGGCAGGTTGTTCCACTGGTTAATTGTTCTAACTATCAGGAAGTTTCTCCTTAGTTCTAGGTTGCTTCTCTCCTTGATTAGTCTCCATCCGTTGCTTTTTGTCCTTCCCTCAGGCGCTTTGGAGAATAGCTTGACTCCCTCTTCTTTGGGGCAGCCCCTGAGAGATTGGAACACTGCTCTCATGTCCCCCCTCGTCCTTCTCTTCGTTAAACTAGACATACCCAATTCCAGCAACCCTTCCTTATATGGATGGTTTAGCAATGTGAAATATAAATAAATAGACTAATCTTCAACTAGGTCCAGTTCTGCCACAAGTCAAAAGCACTTAGATTCCTTCCAGTTTTATTGTCTGCCAGATTTTGGCTATAGATGACTGCTAACTCTCCACTTTGGAAGTTTTTATTGTTGTTGATACGTATGACAGATCTGTAGTGTCCCCCCGCCCCCAGTTTTCTTTTGGCTGGGTGTCTTATCTCTGTGAAAGTGAATGTCAGCGGAAGCCCCTTGATGGATGGTAGGAGTGATAGAGTGCAGCTTCTGACAAAAGGCCACTTCACTTCCCTTATCTGAATTTTGCACAAGAACAGACTTCCTTTTAGAATAAAAAAAGAAAGAAAAGAAAAAGGAATCTGTTTTCCTGTTGTTGTTTTGAAAACAACTTCCTTTCGGCCTTCTTCCTTTGGTGTCTTAACTATTTCCTATGTAAGGTTCAGTAGTCCAGAGAAATATGGACTTCTGCGTTAATCTTTGCCTTCCTTTTAGCAAAATTAGCCCCGATTGTTGATTTTATGAATGGAGGTTTATTTGCAGAACACTTGTTTCTTACCTTTAATATCCAACTGGGCAGAGCTGGCCCAAATAAGGAAAATTTACCTTGAGGGCCTTTGCACACGGTGGCAAGGGCGTTTAAGCATCATAGAGGAGTTCATGTGTGATCCTAAAATAGGAGATGCCGAAAAATATTGCAGCACATAAGACATTGTGCTGTTCTGTGTTATACCCAACCCGTTGAGGATGCAGTTCAGTAGTGCCTTGAATACTTGTCTCTGCTTGCTATGGCTTTTCTGAACATAGACGCTTTACTAAGAATTCTTGGAACTGAATGTTGCACAGCTGCAGGGCACAGACGTTGAGAAAGGAATAGCAGAAGAACAAAGTTTGAAGTAATAATACTAATACTAATACTAATAATACTAATAATAATAATAATAATAATAATAATAATAATAATAATAATAATAATAATAATAATAATAATAATAATAGAATTCAAACAGACAAGCACCTGCAACATAACACTCCAGACTTAACAATTGTCGATAAGAAAGACAAAAAAGTCTGGATAGTGGACGTGGCAGTGCCTGGAGGCAGCAGAATAGACAAGAAAGAACTGGAGAAGATAACAAAATACAGAGACCTACAATTAGAAATGGAAAGACTGTGGCAAAAGCAAGCAAGGGTAGTACCAATAGTAATAGGCGCCTTAGGTGCAATCCCAAAACAACTGGAGCACCACTTGAACACCACTGGCATTGACAAATTCGCTATTAGTCAATTGCAAAAGGCGGCCTTACTAGGAACTGCTTTCATCCTGTGACGATGTCTGTAATACCATCAAACATCCACATCTGCCTATCCCAGGTCCTGGGAAAGGACTCGATAGGTAGACAAAAATGCCAAATCCAGTCTGAACATCTGGCTGACTGTGCGATGATCCACAATAATAATAATAATAATAATAATAATAATAATAATAATAGTAGTAGTAGTAGTAGTAGTAGTAGTAGTAATAGTAATGAAGAAGATGATGATTATGATGGTGATGATGATGAAAAAGTTGGAAGGGACCTTGGAGGTCATCTAGTCCAACCTCCTGCTCAGGCAGGAAACACTACACCATTTCGGACAAATGGCTGTCCAGTCTCTTCTTGAAAACTTCCAGTGTTGGAGCATTCACCGCTTCTGGAGGCAGGTTGTTCCACTGGTTAATTGTTCTAACTGTCAGGAAGTTTCTCCTTAGTTCTAGGTTGCTTCTCTCCTTGATTAGTTTCCATCCGTTGCTTCTTGTCCTGCCTTCAGGCGCCTTGGAAAATAGCTTGACTCCCTCTTCTTTGTGGGGCAACCCCTGAGATATTGGAAGACTGCTATCGTGTCCCCCCTCGTCCTTCTCTTCGTTAAACTAGACATACCCAATTCCAGCAGCCGTTCCTTATATGTTTTAGTTTCCAGTCCCCTAATCATCTTTGTTGCTCTTCTCTGTGACCTTGGAGGTCTTCTAGTCCAACTCCCTGCTCAAGCAGGAAACCCTGTATCATTTCAGAAAATGGTTGCCCAATTGCTTCTTAAAAATCTCCAGTGTTGGAGCACCCACAATTTCTAGAGGCAAGTTGTTCTAATGATTAATTGTTCTCACTGTCAGGGAATTTCTCCTTAGTTCTAGGTTGATTCTCTTCTTAGTTTCCATCCATTGCTTCTTGTCCTGCCTTCAAGTGCTTTAGAGAATAGGTTGACCCCCTCCTCTCTGTGACAGCCCCTCAAATATTAGAACACTGCTATCATGTCTCCCCTGGTTCTTCTCTTCACTGGACTAGCCATGCCCAGTTTCGGTAACTGTTCTTCATATGTTTTAGCCTCCAGTCTGCTAATCATCTTGGTTGCTTTTCTCTGCACTCTTTCTAGAGTCTCAGCATCCTTTTTGTATCGTGGTGACCAAGGTGGTTTGCACAGTCAGATATTCTCATTGAGTCACTATATTCATAAAGCACATATAGGGAACTTCTACCTCCCTAACTCCATCTTCATCTGTCGAGCACCCATGGATCAGCTGATCCGTTAGCTACTGCATGTTGGAAGTAAGCTCTTAATGAGATGGTTTCATTTCCCTACTCCAAGTGATTCACACAAAGTGGGATCACTGGTGCATGGTTTTTAACCTCACTTTTCTGACAATTTATATTAATTAATTAATTAATTAATATAATATAATTAATTAATTCATCATTCATTCATTCAATTTCTATAGCTACCAATCTTAGTCAATGAGTCTGGGTAGCTTACAATTCAGAAAATGTATTAGTTAAAAATACTGAAAACTTTTTAAAACAACAAAGACAAAAACACTCAAAAGGTCTAAATTAAACGTATATAAGGGCAAGATATTAAGTGAAGTATTAATACCACTTTACAATGGCTTGGTAAGGCCACACTTGGAATACTGCATCCAGTTTTGGTCACCACGATGTAAAAAAGACGTTGAGACTCTAGAAAGAGTACAGAGAAGAGCAACAAAGATGATTAGGGGACTGGAGACTAAAACATATAAGGAACAGTTGCTGGAATTGGGTATGTCTAGTTTAATGAAGAGAAGGACGAGGGGGGACATGATAGCAGTGTTCCAATCTCTCAAGGGCTGCCACAAAGAAGAGGGAGTCAAGCTATCCTCCAAAGCGCCTGAAGGCAGGACAAGAAGCAACGGATGGAAACTAATCAAGGAGAGAAGCAACCTAGAACTAAGGAGAAACTTCCTGACAGTTAGAACAATTAACCAGTGGAACAACCTGCCTCCAGAAGCGGTGAATGCTCCAACACTGGAAGTTTTTAAGAAGAGACTGGACAGCCATTTGTCTGAAACGGTATAGGGTTTCCTGCCTGAGTAGGGGGTTGGACTAGATGACCTTGAAGGTCCCTTCCAACTTTATTATTATTATTATTATTATTATTATTATTATTATTATTATTATTATTATTATTATTATTATTATTATTATTATTATTATTATTATTATTATAATAATATCTGGCCAGTAAACCATCTTAGTGTATTGTAGGGAGAATACTCCACAATGCTCCACAATGAACATTGCAGGAAAAATTGTAATTTGCCACCTGCTGTTAACAATTGTGATGCCTTTTTGGCGATAATTTTGTTAGCAAAGCATAGATGTATAAGATGACAGTTCTTATGTTTTTCTCAGCCAAGCTGGAATCGGGAATAATCCCTATGCGTGTAAGAAATGGAAAACCATAGCAGACCGAAGAGGTGGAAATCAGATTGAGATCCTAAAAGATCAGTTTGTTGCTGTGGCTGGGAAAATGAAGGTGAGATATTGATTTCCTTATTTGCTGTTTGCAAAGCTGTTGGAAAGTTTGGTAGCAGGCCCTAAGTTGCTACATTGCAACTCTTGCTGTGCATCAATAAGATTTTAATATGATATGAGAAGCAATATAGAAATTATGATGATGACAGTCCTATATGTGTTTATTTGGAGTTAAGCCCCATAAGATAATGGCTTTTCTCTAGTAAGTTTCCTTTATAGCAGTGGTCTTCAAACTTGGCAACTTTAAGACTTGTGGACTTCAACTCCCAGAATTCCTCAGCCAGCCAGGGTTGGCTGAGGAATTCTGGGAATTGAAGTCCAAAAGTCTGAAAGTTGCCAAGTTTGAGGACCACTGCTTTATAGCTTCAAGCTGCAGTTTTATGCAACATTATTTAATATCTTTCTCTATTTATATTACAATTCTTAGGTCAATGAATCGACTCTTAGCAGGAAATTCATTCTGAACTCAATGGGTCTAAGTTTTATATGAGTCAGGGTTATGTCTGGAAAGATGTGTGCTGGTTTTTCAGCTTCACTTCATCTCTGGATTTTTATGGGCAACAATAAACTCTCTATTAACCATTGTTGCAAGAGAGTTGAGAAATGATCAACAGTTTTATTTCTATTCACCCCAGAGGGTAGTCAACTGATCATCTAAATTTCAGATGCCAATAGGATACATCAAACAAGGGTGGATCTGTGTTGCAGTAGAAGGAATAGCCTGGATAAACTAATATGGTGACATGTTCCATTGACTCATTTTTCAAGAGACCAGTTCACGATTTTAGCCTTAAACCCCTTGACTTTTTCTTTTTAAAATAAATGTATTGTTTAATCATAGAGCCCACTTGACTTTTTCTCTTGTAGACTGTTAGCAGCCTCACCGTTCAAGCAGCAAATGTGTCCACCTTGTACAGATGTGTAGCAAATAATAAAGCTGGAGAGGGTGAAAGAGTCATCTCCTTTCATGTAACTAGTAAGTCTTGCTTTCTGAACACATCTACCACATTTTTCTGAGCCTGCCCTCCTGTTGATTATGTGTGCATGGAAATACTTCCCAAATGAATGTAAACGATCATGGCAGGAAGGCCAGGCTTTTGGGGATCAAGGAACACCCAGTCTGTTTTGATGGGTTCAAAATGGGAAAAACCTTCCAGATTTGGGGGTGGATGTTTCAGAATTTGAAATGGGATGCCTAGGGTCAAAGGTCAGGCTTATGGCATCCTTCCTTAAACCTTTCTCAGAAGTTTAAGTTCCATCCACTCTGGTTGAAAGAATGCTCTTTTCAGCCTGTAGCCCAGTGGTGGCGAACGTATGGCACGGGTGCCAGAGGCGGCACTCAGAGCCCTCTCTGTGGGCACGCACACCATGCCCCAGAGATGGCAACCGTCCCTCTTCAACCAGCTGCCCACTAACTCGCCGAGGTCCCATGTGCCCGGATGCATCCCAGCATGGCTGGTTTCCCTCCCCCCTGTCCCATCCCTCCTGGCCTTGCATGCTCTTCTTTTTGTGAGCACGACCCACTGCATCGCCTCCTCAGCTGTCCGCCGTCCGTCCAGCTCAGAGGCGGCTTCTCTGAACTGCTGACGGCGGGCTGCGGAGCCCCAGAGTGGGGCTGTGGCTGCTGACGGACACTGTCGGCCCCCGTACGCTCGCTGGCCTCTGTGTGCGGGGGCCGATGGTGTCAGGCAGCCGCCGCCTCGGCCCCTGCCTCGCCTTGCCCTGCAACAATGGCACCCCCACCCTACCTCGCCTTGCCTCGCCTCACCCCGCAGGACGAGCCTCCTGCCCACCGCCCCACCTGCCAGAGACCCCCTGGATCTCCCCCAACCCTGCCCGTCCCCCACAGGCGTCCCTCCCCACGAACAACATCGAGGTGACCACGCCCACCTTGGCCACACCCAGTCTGCCATGACCACAGCCACGCCCACCCAGTGGGCCATGCCCACCTGGCACCCGGAGATAAATAAGTGGGTTTTGGGGTGTGATTTGGGCACTCGGTCTCTAAAAGGTTCGCCATCACTGCTATAGCCCATCCTTGAAGTAACCAGTAGTAATACAGTCCACTCATTTTCTCAATGACCATTTCCAGGAAAGTAAAAAAAAAAAAAAAAAAAAAAAAAGCTTAAGATGGCGGTCTCAATTGCTTGATCAAACCTTCCTTTTTCATACATGTGAAAAGGGGTGAGTGAGGCTTTGCCTGAGTGATTGTGGATGCTTTCCTATTAGATGCCTCCGAAGAGATCTCGGAATATTTCAATATAAGACTCATCAAACATTATTCTTTCTTAGAGCGTGACAGGCAATGGCTCTCTGATAATTTCTTTTAGATCGGGGTCCCCAATCCCTGGACTGCAGTCCACTATGGGGCCGTGGCCCATTTACAACCAGGCCGCGCGAATGGCAAAGTGGCACACGTGCGCACGCACAGCTGGACTCGTGCGAGTGACAGGCTGGGGCGCATGCCTGCGCTTGTAACTCGCACACTGCACCTCACACGGCTGGGGGGGGAGAGGGGAACCGGGCTGCGCGAGTGGCGGGTTGGCAGTGCACAGCTCGACTAGTCGAGCTGCATGCGTATGCGTATGGATGCCGGTCTGCCCCTCACGTGAGTTGAGCTGTGCGCACGCACGAGCCCACCGCTCATGTGGCACGGTTCCCTCTCTCCCTCAGCTGGGCTGCCAAGCTGCAAAGGTTGGGGGACCACTGCTTTAGATCCTTTCTGATTCTTTTCTTTTATTCTTATTCTTTCATTCCCAGGAGGCCTTGAGATCAGCCTTCAGCCTCAAGGCCAGCCTACTAAGAAGCACAACGTAACCTTGCAATGCACCGCAGACAAGCACACCTTTCAAAACCTCAACTGGTTTAAATTCAGCCCTCACGTTTCAGGGACTCGCTTGGATAGAGTTCCTATGCCTGTTTGCAAGAATTTGGAGGCCCTCCAGAAACTAAATGGCACCACCATGAAGGTCAACAGGGAGAACGTTACCCTGAGTCTCTTTCTCCACAATATCACCTTCCAAGATGGCGGGGAGTACGTGTGCATCGCTCTGGATAGAAAGAGTAAAACTCAACATTGCCATGTCAAACATCTCTCCATTCATGGTAAGCTCAATGCTGTGTGACCACCAGGGGAAATGTTGCATTCAATTTTATTCGATTTATTTCTCACCCAAATTGAATCCACCCAACAGTAGGCCAGTGAGTATAGTCAAGGCCATGGTTTTCCCAGTTGCAATGTATGGCTGTGAAAATTGGACCATAAGAAAGGCTGAGCGCCAAAGAATGGAGGCCTTTGAACTATGGTGCTGGAGAAGATTCCTGCAAGTCCCTTGGACTGCAAGGCGTTCAAACTGGTCAGTCCTAGAAGAGATCAACCCCGACTGCTCTTTAGAAGGCCAGATCCTGAAGTGGAAACTCAAATACTTTGGCCACCTAATGAGAAGGAAGGACTCACTGGAGAAGAGCCTAATGCTGGGAAAGATTGAGGGCAATAGAAGAAAGGGACGACAGAGAATGAGGGGGCTGGATGGAGTCACTGAAGCAGTAGGCATGAGCTTAAATGGACTCCAGAAGATGGTAGAGGACAGGAAGGCCTGGAGGAACGTGGTCCATGGGGTCGCGATGGGCCGGACACGACTTCACAATTAACAACAACAACAATAGCAGGCCAAAATAATAATATAATAATAATAATAGAGTTGGAAGGGACCTTGGAGGTCTTCTAGTCCAACCCCCTGCTCAGGCAGGAAGCCCTATACCATTTCAGACAAATGGCTGTCCAGTCTCTTCTTAACGACTTTCAGTGTTGGAGCAGTCACCACTTCTGGAGGCAGATAGTTCCACTGATTATGGATGAGGGGGTTCACCTGTGTTTCTGTATATGCTCCTAGCTTTAACTGTAGTGTCCCCCTAAATGCTCTACAGCCAGGACAATTAATTTTATTGGTAGACAAAGACTCTATATGGTGGACACAGAGAGCCCATCAGGTTTTATCCAATGGCAAGCTTGGAAATCACCCTATAATTTTCATGCATTTCCCAGGCTCCAAATAACAGGAAATTGTGCTGTTAGTTTCGACAGTCATTGTCCAAGGAGGCCACCCTAGAGCAATTTAACACTTAAGCAGTGATCATTGTACAAAGCCAGAAAATACAGATCAAAATGCAGCATACCAAAATAAATATATTTAAAGATTGTTCTCAAAAGTGTGTCTTTTCTTGCAGGTTTATTTACTGGGTAAGCCATTGGTTGGGTTGTGCAACTTTATGGGGCCAAAGGCTGCATTAATACTTGAATGATGTGCAAGAGACCACATTCCAAAAGTAGTGGGTGTTGCTAGAGAAAAAAATGCATTTGATTTCATTGACAGTGAATGGAAATCAAGTTGAGTTATTATGACTACATTCCAGATGCGTTCCCTGTTTTTTTTTTTTTTTACTTTAACCATTAAATTTGATCAGATTTACAGTATCTAGGGCAGTGGTTCTCAACCTATGGGTCGGGACCCCATTTGGGGTCGATCAACCATTTCACGGGGGTCGCCAAGCAAGGCTGTCCGCCATTTTTTTTGTCCGCCATTTTTTTCCCCTTTTCCGGCGGGTGCCTTACCTCCCTTGAGCTGGGCCAGCTGGTGGTCGGCCTGCTCCGTCTCTGCCGCTTGCCAGCTACGCCTCGGCCGGCGCAGGGGGCGGAACCACGCATGTGCGGCGCTCCCGGGCAGGGAAAGTCCTCAACTTACGACCGGTTGGGTAGTCCTCGACTTACGACCGGTTGGGTAGTCGACTTACGACCGGTTTAGTCTCGACTTACGACCGGTTGGGGTCGCGGCATTAAAAAGGTTGAGAACCACTGATCTAGGGGCTGTATTCCCATCTCCCAGGGATTTAGGTTGTGCATCTGAAATAAATTAGAAATTTAATTGACACGAACAAATTCCCTGTATTTATGCTGGAACATTTTGTGCTCATTCTGCAATTTTAGGAAAGAACTTACAGCAAGGCTACTAACCATTGTATATTCCTCCCATTGAGTCTAATGAAGCATCCATTGCTTTCAGCTTTGCCTTCCTAAAGGGGCATTTTCCAGGACCTGCTCTTAACATGTATATTTCTTGCAAACAGAACCAGTGGCACCCACAATTACAGGACACCCTCAGAATCAGACCACCAACATTGGCGAAACAATAGAAGTTGTTTGCACGGCAAGTGGGATCCCTTCCCCACACATCACTTGGTTTAAAAACAACAATTCTCTTATTGAAGATTCAGGTGAGAAAGTTCTCCTCTATCCAGTTGCTTAGGTTAAAACGCCTGTTGATGTTGCAAAGGTCAATTATTGCTTATCCAAGAAATACTTTTTTTCTATTATGTCTCTTAAATGCTCCTATCAGTCCTTATTGATCATTTAGTGAACAAAACTGTGATGTTGTTGGGAAGCAGAGTCTATTTTTCCCCCCCTGACATTTACTACCTCTCCTGCTGATGTCGGTCAGTTATATCTTTTAATAAGAGCTGCATTAATTTCTTGCCCAATTCTAACCCTAGTAAATCATCAATTTTATTCCCAAGGAGCATTATACAATTCATTTATCATGTTGAAGGGTTGCACCATGAAAAACCAGGGCCGTTGATTTATTTTTTGTGATTAAACAAAATGACTAAACAAAAAAAATTGACAAAAAGCTGATTAAACGAAAAATGATAAAAGATATAAGTCCCATCAGGAGAAATAGATGTCTAAAGTCCAACCAACTATTGCAGTGGTGGCGAACCTATGGCACGGGTGCCAGAGGCGGCACTCAGAGCCCTCTCTGTGGGCATGCGTGCTGTCGCCCCAGTCCTAGGCCTTCAGCTGGGTTTTATAAAATCTTTTTGCTTTAGGCCTCCGCTGCCGTGTATATATATATATAAAAAAGTTTCAATCAGTCAATTTCAACTTCTCGCGGGAAAAAAAAAGATCTTGCAAAGTTGGAATTGATTGATTGAACTTTTTAGTCCCACCCAGTCTGCCGTTACCACCGCAGCCACGCCCATCCAATGGACCACACCCATCCAATGGGCCACACCCACCCAATGGGCCACACCCACCTGGCACCCGACGATGCATAAGTGGGTTTTGGGTTGCAGTTTGGGCACTCGGTCTCTAAAAGGTTCGCCATCACTGAACTATTGGTTAATTATATTTACAGTTCTCAGATTGGTACTGAAATCCTGCACTTTGACTGGAAGCTTCTACTAGGCCTAGAAATGTGTTGAGCTGGTTTTACTCATATTGTATCTCCGTTATCATGACTATATATGTCAGGGCTGTACCTCAGCACAAAAATCAAGTCCAAAAAAAAACCAAATAGACTTTAAGCCAGAATTATTTTTGTTAGGAATAATAGCAGCAAATTATGGGAAAGACTGCATATATTTAATTTTACATGTACTGACTACAGCAAGAATTGTATTTGCCCAATATTGGAAAAATGAAAATTTACTAACTGAAGAAGTACTAACTGAGAAAATTTTACAGTGTGCAGAAATGGATAGATTGGCTTTAAAAGATAAAAGAGAAAGAAGATTCAGTGTATTTTAGAACATGGGATAATTTTTATCAATGGCTAGAAAAACGAGTTAGAGAGAAAGGAATGTGATATGTAACACTGAATATATATACTAGTAAGAAAAAGACTATTGAGCGATTAATTAACATATTGTTTATGATAATTAGTTACTATTCTTTGTTTTTTTAAATGCATGAATCCAGACAACATGCTGTTTGCTAAATATTAAGAATGTTATTTAAAAAAAATCCTAACCCTAACCCCAACTCTAACCGACCCCACCCTATTCCCAATCCATTCAATCAATCAGAATAGAACTGGAAGAGACCTTGGAGGTCATCTAGTCCAACTCCCTGCTCAAGCAGGAGACCCTATACCGGTGGTGGCGAACCTATGGCCTTCGTACCAGAGGCGGCACTCAGAGCCCTCTCTGTGGGCACGCATGCCATGCCCTGGAGATGGCAACCATCCTCTTCAACCAACCACCTGCTAACTCGCAGAGGTCCCACGTGGCCGGATGCATCCCAGCACCCATGCGCTCGCTGGCCTCTGTGTGCGGGGGCCGATGGTGTCAGGCAGCAGCCACCCCGGCCCCTGCCTCACCTTGCCTTGCGACAATGGCACCCCCGCCCTGCCTCGCCTTGCCTCGCCTCACCCCCGCAGGACGAGCTTCCTACCCAATGCCCTACCCGCCAGAGACGCCCTGGATCTCCCCCAACCCTGCCCGGCCCCCACAGGAGCAACATTGAGCTGGCCACGCCCACCCATCTGCCATGACCACCGTAGCCACACCCAGCGGGCTACGGCCACCCAGCGGGTCACGCCCATCCGGCCCGCGGCAATACATAAGTGGGTTTTGGGTTGCAGTTTGGGCACTCGGTCTTTCAAAGGTTCGCCATCACTGCCCTATACCATTTCAGACAGGTGGCTGTCCATTCTTTTCATAAAAACTCCAGTGATGAAGCACCCACAATTTCTGAAGACAATCTGTTCCACTGGTTAATTGTTCTCACTGTTAGGAAGTTTCTCCTTAATTCCAGGTTGCCTATCCAGATAAGCTCAGGTTCAGATAAACCAGCGGTTCTCAACCTATGGGTCGCGACCCCATTTGGGGTCGATCAACCATTTCATGGGGGTCGCCAAGCAAGGCTGTCCGCCATTTTTTTCCCCCTTTTCTGGCGGGTGCCTTACCTCCCTTGAGCTGGGCCAGCTGGTGGTCGGCCTGCTCCGTCTCTGCCGCTTGCCAGCTACGCCTCGGCCGGCTCAGGGGGTGGAACCACGCATGCGCGGCGCTCGCGGGCAGGGAAGGTCCTCGACTTACGACCGGTTGGGTAGTCCTCAACTTACGACCGGTTTAATCCTCGACTTACGACCGGTTTAGTCCTTGACTTACGACCGGTTTAGTCCTTGGGGGTCACGGCATTAAAAAGGTTGAGAACCACTGAGATAAATGCTACCTCCAGCTCCGTAGTTCAGTTATTCAAAAAGAAAAATGTAATGTGGAGTTTTAGAATGCTCCAGTTTGGTTTTCTTTCATGTGGGATGAGAAGGAAGTCCCAAACGAGAAATGCTTGTACCTCAGTATTTTCATTTTAACCACAGAGTCAACCAAGTTATAGCAAAATAAGTTCTTTGTCCTTCTTGTTGTGTCTGCTGCAAGGTATCGTCCTGAAAGACGGGAACCAACGTCTGACCATACAACGGGTGAGAAAGGAAGACGAAGGCCTTTATATGTGCTACGCCTGCAATGTCCTGGGTTGTACAAAAGCAGCTGCATTTTTTGAAGTGGAAGGTTGGTGACACTATGCATGTCCAGGCTGATGGGGGAAAGTCTTACTTTCTGGGTCATTTATCCTTAGAATTGGCTTAACTCTACTAGCTAACTCCTTAGAATTGGATTAACTCTGTTAATGCAAGTCCAGATGCTACTAGATCAATTGATAGTGATCAGCTGGAATGTTGCAGCATCTCCAGGGTCTTGTGATTTACATTCAGATGCTTGGCAACTGATTCATATTTATGATGGTCACAGTGTCCCAGGCTCATGTGAAGTGACCAAAACCTGCTGCAACCACCCAGCAGACGGGGGGAATAAAAACCAAACACCCCCCACCCCCGCTGGCAATCCTCAACAGAAATGCTCACAACAATGGAAACCTCGGACAGGCAGAAGAGTGCAACCCGGCGGGCAGGCAAATGTCTTGCTCGGCTGTGGCTTGGGGGGGGCACTTTTTTCAGTGCCATTGTAAATTCGAACAGTCACTAAGCGAACTGTTGTAAGTCGAGGACTACCTGTACTTTATCACTTTTTTCCTTTTTTATTTTTGGTCATCAAGTTTTTGACACCTTGCTAGGCGACTGGTGGTACTCAGATGTTGCCATATCCTAAAAGTGGTACAATGGGTGAACAGGTTGAAAAGCCCTGGTCTATCAGTCAGAGCAAAACACCCAAGCATAAATCGGAAAGGGGGCCTTTAATGCTGCAGTAATGCATTACTCACTTGGAAATGAGTATCCTCATCCTTGTTGATATTTAGTAAGGAAGCCCACTATCTACATAGCCATTTAGACTAGGACTCCTTCTTTAAATAGCTTCAATTCTTAAGTTCAGCGCCTAACATCATCTGGTTAAACCAATGACAAAGGACATCAAGCATCGGCGATCTTTCTTGATCGGCCAGATTGGATGATGGGTCAGAAGGTCCTTCTTGCGGCTGATGGGTCATTGGGTGAAATTTGCACTAGACTATCCATGGCTTGTTGAGACCCAAACCCTAAAACGAAGTGAATCCGGGGCCTATTTTGCATAATTTGGGTGAATTTTAAGGGGCAAAAGGCTTAGGCACCAACTGTCTCCTTAATCCCACCAAAGTATTAACAATAAAAATAAAAAATAGAAGCAGCAGTAGGAGGATGACATTTAATATTTAGTTCTACCCACTCTAAGGGGTCCAGCTTAATAAGATCAGATTTTAGTTCTTTGTTGTTGTTGTTAGTTGCAAAGTCGTGTCCGACCCATCGCGGCCCCATGGACAACTTTTCTCCAGGCCTTCCTGTCCTCTACCATCTTCTGGAGTCCATTTAAGCTCATGCCTACTGCTTCAGTGACTCCATCCAGCCACCTCATTCTCTGTTGTCCCCTTCTTCTATTGCCCTCCATCTTTCCCAGCATTAGGCTCTTCTCCAGGGAGTCCTTCCTTCTCATTAGGTGGCCAAAGTACTTGAGTTTCAACTTCAGGATCTGGCCTTCTAAAGAGCAGTCAGGGTTGATCTCCTCTAGGACTGACCGCTTTGATCGCCTTGCAGTCCAGGGGACTCGCAGGAGTCTTCTCCAGCACCATAGTTCAAAGGCCTCAATTCTTTGGCGCTCAGCCTTTCTTATGGTCCAACTTCCACAGCCATACATTGCAACTGGGAAAACCATCTCTAACTATGTGAATCTCTGGCTACGTGAATCTCTGGCTATGTGAATCTTTGGCTATGTGAATCTCTAACTATGTGAATCTCTGGCTACGTGAATCTCTGGCCATGTGAATCTCTGGCCATGTGAACCTCTGGCTTATACTAGAATAGTAAAGAAGAACTTGATCATATGTTTAACAGGACAGTATTGTAATCAGTATTTGTGCTCAGTACTTGTGTGGTACAGGATGATGGTGGTTGTATTTTGTCCCGAAGAAAAATATGATATTTTCTTGACAGGTTGTGGGTTTTTGTTTTTTGTTTTGGGTCTTAGACTTGTTAGGTGTTGGGCATCTAATTTTTTTTCTTTCTTGGACAAGAGTGCCCTTTAAGTATTTCAGCCGATGACCTGTTCCAACAGCTTTGGATCCTATCAATGAATCATGTCATTGTTTCTTCCCAGGGACCGATGAGAAAAGAAACCTTGAGCTCATTATTCTCGTTGGAACAGCAGTCATTGCCATGTTCTTCTGGCTACTCCTTGTAATCATTCTCCGGACTGTTAAACGGGTAATGAAACCAACTCTTCCCCCCTGTCTGTTGGCATTAGTCTTGCATAACAAATGAAACCTGACGTGTATCCTTTTGTCTGCTTCTCGGCTTTGTCTTGAAACCAACAGAGGCTGCTCCCCCTCTCCCTCTTTCTTGGGGCGTCACATTCCTGTAGAGCACTGAAGGCATGCAAATATTTTGCTTTTAATTGATGGGGAGGGAGAAAAATGGAGTCCTCTTTTCAGATATTAATAAAGCAAGTTTCTAACGATGGCTGATGGGTACATACCTCGTGGAGCCGTATTGGGAAACAACATTCTTGCGTTTCTGGCAAAAAAACAACAACAACCCACCACCCTTCAAATCTTAACAATGCTAGTAAATGTGAGAAATGGCAGATGACTCAACGGTTAAGTATAAGTGACTAGTGTTGATATTGTGTTTCTTTCAGGCCAACGGAGGAGAACTGAAAGCTGGCTACCTATCTATCATCATGGATCCCGATGAAGTCCCTATGGATGAGCAGTGTGAACGTCTCCCTTACGATGCCAATAAATGGGAGTTCCCTCGGGATAGGCTGAAGCTAGGTGTGGTCTCTTCCTTCGGACCAATATGTGTTTGTCCTGATAGCCACGAAACTAGAACTTTTTGCGGGTGGATATACAGTAGTGGTCAAAATTGTGGAAAGTGTACTTTTGAGGTTTGATGGCTAATAACACCACTTTTTTGGGGGGTGGTGGTAGTACCATAAAATTATATATCAATGGAAAGATAATTTAATCAAGAATGTAATGCAACAAAGTTGGTTCAATTATCCGTACTGTATTCTATGAAAAGTTATAGCCAAATAACCAGAAAAAGGAAGCACAATTTGCCTAGGTTGAGATCAGGTAGCTTTCCTTCATCTGACTGTAGCCAATGAGCATGAGTGTTTAGAGAACCAATGAGGGGTCATCTTGTTTTGGCAAGGAGCCAATCAGACCACAGTAGGATTCAGTGATTGATGTCATGTATTGAAGCTGAGAGGAGGACATTTGTCAGTGTGTTATGTGATCGCTATCAAGTTGGTTGGGGTTTTTTGGGGGGGTTCTTTCATTTAGTGAGCTTGTAAAATGTAATAACATTAAAGTCATGGTGCAAAGAGTTGACTGGTTGCCCAGAAAGCAATGCAAAATAGTATTATTAAGTGAACAAGGCTACAGTTATAAAAAAATTAGAAGAAATACTGGTGGAAACTTAACCAAAGGTGGCATTTCTACTGTACACTTTTCCCAAAAGGTTTCCACAATTTTGGCCACTACTGTAGGCTGGGGGAAATCACAGGACACTTAGAATGTTATCACATTTGTGCTTGGACCCTCCACTGGGAAAATTCTTAAATGCAGAACAGTGTATTGGCATTCCTAAGACCACAGAGTAAATTTGTAGACATTGTAGATTGTTTATAGGCTGTGTTACAGGCTACTCTTTGTCAACGGGTTCATGTTTGAGTTTCCCAGGAGGGTTCATGGGTTTTAATTAGCACTGGAAGCCAGCCAGGTCCCATCTTTTAGTTGGAGGGAGGTCATCAGACAGTCAAAGAGGAGTGTGGCAGAATACAGAAAAAGACAGGGCACATCATCAGTAATTTCCATTATTTCTGAGAGGTGAAGTCACTGGTAGTATATCATGTGTAGCAGTGAAATCTCAGCTAAGCCACACCCCAGGGAATGTGCCAAAGCTGTGGCTGTTGGAATCCATATCTTGAAAATGCTATTTAATAAAAAAGAAAAAAGAAACTCAAGATAACCAGAATACACGCCTTTGTCACAGAGTCGCCCAAACACACAGTCAGAATTATGCAGCTGGCAGCCAGGACTTTGTCATCGGAGGAGAACAGCCCTTCCTGGCACCTGTCTTTTCTTTAAAATGACATTAGGTGGGCAACTCTTGACCCCCAAGTTTCTGATTTTGAACCCTTGGGGCTGAACAAGATCACATCACCAGCATCGTTGCTTCTTCAGACAGAAGAATGACTTTGTTTAGCTCTCAAAGTGCTTTTTTTTTTTTTTAATCAAAAGGCAAGTGGACTGGGTTTTTTTTCCTTGAAGAAGAAAAAGAAGAAGACTGGACCAGTCATAACCGAGGAAGCTTCTTGGATGAGAAGAGAAACATCTTTTACTTCTTCTCCCTCAAGGAGAAAACATAGTTGCCTTTGAGACAACCATGACCTGGATGACTGAGAATCTCCATAGACTAGGCCAGGAGTGGACAACCTTGGCTCTTTTATGACTCGTGGACTTCAACTCCCAGAATTCCTGAGCCAGCCATGCTGAGGGGAAAGGGAGAGGTTTCCAAGCTGAGCCATGCTGGCTCAGGAATTCTGGGAGTTGAAGTCCACGAGTCATAAAAGAACCAAGATTGCCTACCCCTGGACTAGACTAAAGGAGTTGATCAGGATATTTTGTAGCTCCCATTTTGCTTCAGCTACAAACTCACTCGGTGGTCAAACACCGACTCGGTGTCAGTCCCCTGATGTCTACAGTACTGTTGGCTGGCCTCACAGGAACGTTAGAATATTAGAATCAAAATCATGTGAAGTATTAATACCGCTTTATAAATCCTCAGTAAGACCACACCTGGAGTACCGCATCCAGTTTTGGTTACCAAGTTACAAAAAAGATGTTGAGACTTTTGAAAAACTGCAGAGAAGAGCAACTAAGATGATGAATGGGCTGGAGAATAAAACATATGAAGAACAGTTGCAGATTTTAGGTATAGCTAGTCTAGAGAAAAGAAGAACTAGGGATGACATGATAGCAGTGTTCTAGTATTTGACGGGCTGCCACACAGAACGGGGTCAACTTATTTTCCAAAGCACCAGAAGGCGAGACAAGAAACGATGGAAACTAATCAAGGAGAGAAGCAATCTGGAATTAAGGAGAAACTTACTAACAGTGAGAACAGCAGAGGGCTGGACTAGAAGACCTTCAAGGTTCCTTCCAGCTCTATTCTGATCGATTGATTGTAGCTAAATAATAGTGGTCTAGTTAAGGGTTTTCTATTGACTCACTGGAGAAGAGCCTAATGCTGGGAAAGATTGATGGCAATAGAAGAAGGGGACGACAGAGAATGAGGTGGCTGGATGGAGTCACTGAAGCAGTAGGCGTGAGCTTCAATGGACTCCAGAAGATGGTAGAGGACAGGAAGGCCTGGAGGAATGTTGTCCATGGGGTCACGATGGGTCGGACACGACTTCGCAACTAACAACAACAAATTCTTGCCTGGATCTGCTGCATTTTGCTGCCTTCCTTAGACCAGTATAAAATAATCACACATACTCAAAAATAATGCAACCTTATATTTGATTTGATGACAAAGTTTTCATGGCCAGCACTGAAACAAATTTGCAGGGATCGCCAACTAGGATAGCGTTTTCCTTTCCTTCCTTCATCCACATTTTTTTTTAAGGGAATGGGTGAATTTCTGTCCTGCCATTTGGGGATGAATATTACTCTTTTCTTTTTCTCATGTATCCAGGAAAGCCACTTGGTCGAGGAGCATTTGGTCAAGTTATTGAAGCGGATGCATTTGGAATTGACAAAACAACTACTTGTAGAACTGTAGCAGTCAAAATGCTTAAAGGTAAGAATCAAGAATCTCTATACTCACCCAACAAGGAAGTGATGATAAGCAAAAGTAAAAGTTACACAGATTATAATTCTTGGATGAGGAGAATTGTATTTAGATGGTTTTAGCAGTTTTAGGGATGGAAGAGGGTCTTCTGCTCTATTCTTTGGTTCAGACAATTATCCATAATTACCAAAAGGCGGGTAATGTGTACAATCTGACTGTATTAACAGATGCATTTCTGCATTTCCCATCTACTCTGGGTAATTATTAGCTGTTGCTGGACAGTGTTTTACACACTACAAATCTCTTAATATTAGCAAGCATGTAACATCTAAACCAGGGGTGTCAAACTGCCGGCCCGCGGGTCAGATGCGTCATGGCGAAACCGCGCCCACCCCATTGCCGGCAATGGAAAAAAAGTCGTGATACGTCGCGACACGTCACGGGACGTTGCGAGTTTGACACCCCTGATCTAAATGGAAAGAATATAGCCATTTTCTGACCAATGGACAAATTCCAGGGCTGAAATCTTAGCTTGCATAAACTTTCCTGGAGGGGTTATGCATGATAGCTATGCTATCATTTTCCTTACCCGTGGTATTTGTATATGTAAATTCTGCAAACCTTTTACACATGGACTAATGCCTAGTTCCTATGCACATTATGCACATTATCTATGCAGTTTCTAATAACAACAAATCTCTATTAATCTTGCTCACAAATCTTGATAAAATACTATTTTGATCTCTATTGTGGTTTGACTCAACCCCTCCCCCACACCATTTAGACTTGTCTACAGTAATTCAACCTACTGAAATGTGAGAGAATAGACGTAAAATAGAGGTGTTAATTTCTCCAAGGAAAGTAAAAGATAGAGTGGCCATTCCTATAAGATGCTTTAGTAAATGTGACTCGAGGTTTAGAGCAGACTTTTAAGGGTGCCTGTTTATCTTATGTTGCTGCAAGGAAACTAGATAGACCCAATGGATTTTGAAATTCTTCCCTACCTTTGAAATGGAAGTTGGCAGCTCAGCTAACTGAGGCCCTTCTGATAAATTGCAACTACAGTCTATAGAATTCAGTTTATTACTGCTATTATTTCTGTGCTTTTTCTTTGCAGAGGGTGCAACGCACAGTGAACACCGAGCATTGATGTCTGAACTCAAAATTCTTATTCATATTGGCCATCATCTCAATGTAGTCAACCTACTTGGAGCTTGCACAAAACCCGGAGGTGAGTGTGGCTACTCAAGATCATTTCTGATGTATCTTAGAAACTGGATTAACTGAGTTTACTCTGAATGGATGAGTGAATGAATGGATTGACATGACAGCTCCCCTTGTAGACCTTTTTTGGAGTTCAGCAATGAAGAAAAAAGATACAAAACGAAGCAGGTATAGTGTAGGGAGTACCTTGCTCAATGGTAGTAACTGTGAGAGGGACCTCGGAGTCCTAGTGGACAATCACTTAAATATATGCCAGCAGTGTGCTGCAGCTGCCAAAGGGGCCAACACAGTGCTAGGCTGCATTAACAGAGGGATAGAATCAAGATCACGTGGAGTGTTGATGCCACTTTACAATGCCTTGGTAAGGCCACACTTGGAATACTGCATCCAGTTTTGGTCATCAGGATGGAAAAAAGATGTTGAGACTCTAGAAAGAATACAGAGAAGAGCAACAAAGATGATTAGGGGACTGGAGGCTAAAGCATATAAGGAACGGTTGCTGGAATTGGGTATGTCTAGTTTAATGAAGAGAAGGATGAGGGGTGACATGATAGCAGTGTTCCAATATCTCAGGGGTTGCCCCAGAAAAGAGGGAGTCAAGCAATTTTCCAAGGCGCCTGAAGGCAGGACAAGAAGCAACGGGTGGAAACTAATCAAGGAGAGAAGCAACCTAGAACTAAGGAGAAACTTCCTGACAGTTAGAACAATTAACCAGTGGAACAACCTGCCTCCAGAAGTGGTGAATGCTCCAACACTGGAAGTTTTTAAGAAGAGACTGGATGGCCATTTGTCTGAAATGGTATAGGGTTTCCTGCCTGAGCAGGGGGTTGGACTAGATGACTTCCAAGGTCCCTTCCAACTTTACTATTATTATTATTATTATTATTATTATTATTATTATTATTATTATTATTATTATTTATTATTTAACCGAAAACTTACAGAGAATTAGTCAATGAGGCAGGTTGATGACTGCTTAATACTCTTGTGCCTTCCTATCTGAAGGCTTGTGTAAGATTCTGTCTGATGATGGTTGACCTATTTCTGTTTTAATATTGAACATGCTTTGGTCTGTTTTCATGATCTGACTTTTTTTTCTCACTGTACTTTGTTCAGGTCCACTCATGGTGATTGTGGAATACTGCAAGTTTGGGAATTTGTCTGTCTACTTAAGAAGCAAGCGAAATGATTTTGTTCTGTGCAAGGTGAGGTTTCGCAATCTTTACAGCCATTCACTGTATTCATGATGAGATTTGTTGAACTTTGTGTGACATAGAGGCTAAAGCAGACACGTCAAACACAAGGCCCGGGGGCCGGATGCGGCCCGCGAAGTGGTTTCATGTGGCCCGCGAAGCCATCCTGGAAACAGTGAGGGAACGGCCCCTTCTGCCTTGGCCCTGGCCCAGACCAGCCGGGAGCCAATGTACAATTTTGTGGTGGCCATCTATGCTGAAACGCATTCAGTCTTAGCTCCATAAGCCCCCCCTCCGCATGGCCTGAGAGGAACAGTGAGGCTCCTCCAGTGGACCATGCCTTGGCGCTTGCCCCGGTCCCACCCCCTTCTGCCAGAGACCCTCAGATCTGTCCCACTCCTGCCCAGGCCCCCACAGGCACCCTTGACGCGAACGGTGTAGAGCTGGCCACACCCACCCAGTAGGCCACACCCACTCCATCCACGCCCACCCAGTAGACCGCACCCACCTGGCCCCCTGAGGGCAACCGCAATGCTGATGCAGCCCTCAATGAAATTGAGTTTGACATCCCTGGGTTAAAGCATTAGAACAAGAATAGAAAACTCAGGTTCTTGCCTGCCATCAGCCACAGACCTTCCTTTGTGGCAGTCATTCCCTTTTTCTACTTTTGTTACGCTCCTTTCACACTTTGCAATTATGAAGGGTACAGATGTGGAGAGCAACTGCACTCTTTTTCTCAGTAAAGTACACATTTAACATTTCAACATGAAGCCATTGACTAATCAGGATACACTCTGGGGCCTTCGCCAATATTCTTCCGGTACAATAGCATTTGCTTCCTTGAGAGTCTGTCTCTCATATTACTCAATAGTCCCAGGTCATCCACGATAGTTATCACTAAGAGTCTAATCCAGGGGTAAGCAACCTTGGCTCTTTTATGACTCGTGGACTTCAACTCCCAGAATTCCTGAGCCAGCCATGCTGAGGGGAAAGGGAGAGGTTTCCAAGCTGAGCCATGCTGGCTCAGGAATTCTGGGAGTTGAAGTCCACGAGTCATAAAAGAGCCAAGGTTGCCTGTCCCTGGTCTAATCCATGTAAAGCTCAGACATAAATTCCCTAGGACTGATTTCTGAGCAGAGCCTCCCATAAGCATTTTGCTGCCTGAGGTAAAGAGCAAAATGGTAGCTTTCCATGTAAACAAGCTATCTAGCTAGGCATCTAATCTTACTTCAGTATTGATAGTGGAAGAGTATCATTTGGGCACAGTTGAAGGCAAGGGCACCCAACTTTGGTCAAACCAAGGGTTATATCGATAGCATTTCTGCTAAAAAAAGGCAGACCACATTAAAATGTGGGACGACAATGGCATTCATTAAAGGAAGGATGAAGGTGGCGTAGATTAACCAATGATGTGGAATCTTTGCATGTGTGAAGCCAATACTGCATATAGCTCCAACAAAATCGTACTATCTCCTTTGCCATATTTTGTTGCATCTCCTGTTATGTAGCTTCCATTATTTACCAGCAACTAAAAACTTGCACCACCACCCCTCTTGTTTCTTGCCTTCAGAGACAATGATACAAATTTGATTGCCTCTTTTGCTCTTTATTTGTTTTAATTGCCACAGGCCAATAATACCAGATCTGGGCGAGGACACATTGACTTCTCTGCAGACCTAAAGAAACGCTTGGACAGCATTGCAAGCAGCCAGAGCTCAACAAGTTCAGGATTTGGCGAGGAGCGATCCCTCAGTGACGTGGAAGAAGGAGAAAGTGAGATTTGCCATATTTTTTTTAAGCAAGTGTTAACGACCGAAGTTGAAACGAATAACAAAATATATGAAATAAAACCCTCTATACACTCAAATAACCCGGAGAAATCAAGGATTAATTTCTGTGAGAAGAAACCTTCAAGGGCAAATTAGTAAGGCTATTAATATTATTAATTGGTATTTCCTTAGCTTTACCACCCATGGCCAGATGTTCCCAGGATATTCATTCACTGTTAATATCTCGTTAATCTACGGTGGGGGTTTTCTTAAAATCCTGTTATACAACAAATAAATGTAGCTGTGGTCTAGATAAAGGCATCTCCCATGGAAAATATTCCATTCTGTTCATTCAACCGATGAGGATACCACCCTCAGCAGTTCCCATGGAAAATATTTCATCATCGCCAGTTTTAACTATGTTGCCCAGGATGTGCAGCAGAGTATGCATTGTATATAAATTCATTTATTTTACTTTACAGCCACATCAGAAGATCCTTGCAAAGGATCTCTGAACCTAGAGGACCTTATCTGCTACAGCTTCCAGGTGGCTCGGGGGATGGAATTCCTGGCGTCCCGGAAAGTAAGGAATTTCTTGCAGGGAAATGACACTTGTAGAATGACAACATCCTTCAGGAAATAATTGTAATAAGGATGAGGCTTGGTAGAAGGAAACTGTAATGTTTGTGTCTGGAATTCATTCAAGAGCTCAGAGCATTCTTGATACTCCTAAGTGCTTTGATAAAAATATCAGCACTTGTGAATTCGCCAACAACACTGAAATACGAGTTGGAAGCTCTCTGTGTCATGGTTCCGAGAGATGAAACTCTTCAAAGAACTTTGAGGCATTGTTTACCTTAAAGAATCTTTATTCAAGTAGCATAGCATCAGCACGTACATAGTCAAAGCCAAAATCTGAATTCCCCTCCCCTGAGCACATAGTGTCAAAGCACAATTCCCTCCTCTAATTAACAGTCATAAATCACATTCTCCAATTAGTTTGAAATGCCGGCTTTCCCTCCAGTTCTTAAACCCAGCCATTTCTTATCCTCTCTTATTTCAAAAAACCTTGGTTCTCACCCTTATACAGTATTGTTATGTCTAACTAAACTCCCATGCACATTCCTCCCCCTCCCCCCCCCAGTATCATGTAATTCTAACTCTAAGAGTAAAACATAAAGTAAAGGAAAATGGCTGCATCTATGTTGTCAAAGCAAGAACATCTGATGTTAGCAGCGTTGACACTCTGTCCAGTTCCTCTAATCAGATTTTATTATTTATTTCATGAATGCACATATCTTGGACTAAGCCATACAGAGGTCCAGGGATGTACAGTACATCTAAGGAAAACTGTTGTTAATGCATTTATTAAGAACTACACCCTCAAATCAACATATAAGGGTGCCTTTAGTTGAAACAAGGCCGTTAGTGATAGATGTTCCTGTGGAGAAGAAGCTATATATTGTTCTAATGTGGTATAATAGTTGAGATGTTATACTGTAATAGGGGACACTCAGATTCTAACCTGGCTGGTTGTTATGGGAGGAAAAAAAATAGGAGGAAGACTTTATGTAGGCCACCTGAAAATCAGGATATGGAACTAATAAAAAAAAAAGGATGGCCCAGTTAGAGACACCCAGAAATGTCCTCTCTTAATGTATTTGGCTCCTTCTTCCATTAGGCATAAGCAAGCTTTTTTTTAATAGAGAGCAAGCTCCACCATAGTATGGAGAACTAAAGCAAGAAGTGGATTGGGCCAGAGTCCGAACTTATTCAGGACTTCATTTCTCTCTCTGGGATTCATCCTTTCATTTTGTTCATAATAGTCTTTTTCTTTTGACTTCTTTTTTTCCCGCCCTTCTTACACCTTCTTCACCTTCTACTTCTGTTTTCTACTCCAGGAAAGAGAGAGAGAGAAGCCTTTCCAAAGATCTGACTAGATCTCTTACAGAAAGTTTTAAAGTTAGGCTGAGATCAACATGAATTTACACCAAGGGCTGTAGATGATCCTAGGGCAGGGGTCTGCAACCTTAAACACTCAAAGAGCCACTTGGACCCATTTCCCAGAGAAAAGAAAACACTGGGAGCCACAAAACTTGCGCACGCGCACACGAGGGGTGGGGAGCTTGATTGAAGAGTTTAATTAAAAAGAAATAGAGGCTGCTGTGCATGAGTTTTCTCTCTCTCTCTCTCTCTCTCTCTCTCTCTCTCTCTCTCTCTCTCTCTCTCTCTCTCTCTCTCTCTCTCTCTCTCTCTCTCTCATCTCCCTCTCTCTGTCTCTTTCTCTCTTTTCTCTCCCTCTCTTTCCCCCCGCTCTCTCTTTCTCTCTCTCTCTCCCCTCTTTCTCCCTCTCTCTGATCTTCTGCTCACCTGGCAAGCTAGCTTCAGGCTGTTCTCCAACAAGCTGACACACATTCTTATTGGGTTGGCTCTCTCCTGCCCTTCCTGCTTCCTGCAGAGACGCAGCCAAGGCAGGAGCCCCGCCCAATAAGCTTGTCAGCTCGTCGAAGAACAGCGTGAGGCCACTCTCTTTTTTACACACACACACACGCACACACACACACACACACACACACACACACACAGAGAGAGAGAGAGGGAAAAGGGAAGCGCAAGTGCCTCTCTCTGTCTCTGTCTCTCTCTCTCTGCAAATGGCAGAGGAGACTGGGAGCCACAGGAGAAGGCTCAAAGAGCCACAAGCAGCTCCGGAGCCGCGGGTTGCCGACCTGTGTCCTAGGGCCATGGGCCATCCAGATCTGCAGGATATGAGAGCTACAGAAATAACAGTCCATTCGCCTGCATGAAGCTTATCTGAACCTCTTTGATAGCCACTGGAGCACCCCTGAGTCGGCAGAGTTACGAAAATGTATATTTTGTGGGTTAAGGCCTGATTTTCAGGGGCAACAGGATCACTTCTAGTGTATTCCTTTAAATTTTGTGTAGCTAGCCTTCCCTTTGGAATATTCTTCCCCAAGACCTGACAGATCCTTAACCTTCTAGTCTTCCAAAAAGCTTTAAAATCTGGCTTTCCTACAAGCGTTCATGAGGTCAGAACTCAACAAAGCTTCCTTGGGGATGTGTGGGGATGCATTATGTTGAATTATCTGTGTTGGAGGTTTTTATGTTTTTTTAAAAAATATTTTTTTAATGGTTTGTGAGCTGCCCAGGGTTAAGTTGCATAAGGATAGGTAGCTGTATAATTTTTTTAAGTAAGTAAAACAAACATGGCTTCCAAGTCTGACAGAAGTTCAAGGCGCCCATTCGTCCTTTAATAAGGCCACACTTGGAATACTGCATCCAGTTTTGGTCACCACGATGTAAAAAAGATGTTGAGACTTTAGAAAGAGTGCAGAGAAGAGCAACAAAGATGATTAGGGGACTGGAGGCTAAAACATATAAGGAACGGCTGCTGGAATTGGGTATGTCTAGTTTAATGAAGAGAAGGACGAGGGGGGACATGATAGCAGTGTTNGCAGGACAAGAAGCAACGGGTGGAAACTAATCAAGGAGAGAAGCAATCTAGAACTAAGGAGAAACTTCCTGACAGTGAGAACAATTAACCAGTGGAACAACCTGCCTCCAGAAGCGGTGAATGCTCCAACACTGGAAGTTTTTAAGAAGAGACTGGACAGCCATTTGTCTGAAATGGTATAGGGTTTCCTGCCTGAGCAAGGGGTTGGACTAGATGACCTTCAAGGTCCCTTCCAACTTTACTATTATTGTTATTATTATTATTATTATTGTTGTTGTTGTTGTTGTTGTTGTTATTATTATTATTATTATTATTATTATTTGCCAAATCTGCCAAAATTCAACCCTAGTTTAGGTTCCTTAATATGGTGAGGCACAGCTCAAAATTCCACACAGAGGATTTCTCTACCCTGTGAAGATTTTCTTGTTGGAAAGCCTTCATAGCTTTTCCGCGTTTTGAATACTTAAAACCACACCTTCTCCCTGACATATAATTTTTTTTTCTATTTGCAAGGAATTATAGGCATCAGATGTTTTTTTTTCCTTCATGGGTGCAATATTATTTTGAGAAACCTAAACCTCAGTAGAAACAGTATTGTGTAGATGGAAGTCTTCTTCAAGAATTCTTAAACAAGGGAGGAGAAGCAGGAATGGGCTAGTTCAACCTCATCTCCATTTATCTTTGAGGAACTTTTGAAGAAGTGAAATTTCTATTCAGTGAAACTCTCCACAGAGCAAAGAGCTATACCAGGGGTCTTCAAACTTGGCAACTTTAAGACTGGTGGATTTCAACTCTCAGAATTCCTCAGCCAGCCAGGGCTGGCTGAGGAATTCTGGGAGTTGAAGTCCACCAGTCTTAAAGTTGCCAAGTCTGAAGACCCCTGAGCTATACTAACTTGAAGTATAAAGTATGACTTGCCGTAGAATCTGCTGGACTAACGCCTTACTATCCACACCTGCTCTTGTGCAATTTGTAAGAGACCTTCTTTGGTATGGAACAGAATATTTTTTCTGTAGAGTAGGAGTGCCCATGAATGGAGGAAAAAAAAGTCAAGACAACAGCCAGGATAGAACAATAGAAGCCACCACTTTTTTTTAAGCACATGTCACATTTGAAAGCAGCTTTCAGAAATTTATGCTTTCTTTTTTTAGTTTCACATTTTTATTAGTTTATCGAAATACAAGATACAAAGAGAAATTCAAAAAAAGTAATAGAAAACTAGGAAGAAGGGGAAGGAAAAGAAAAAAAAAATGGTGTAAAGAAGGAAAAGGGGGGGAAAAAGGCACCAACTTCCAACTCTCTTTAGCACAGCAGAAGATAACAATGTTACAACCTCAACTTTTTACTTTTACACAACAGTACATATTAGCCATTTCTATAACAATTGTTGTTGTTAGTTGCGAAGTCGTGTCCGACCCATCGCGACCCCATGGACAACGTTCCTCCAGGCCTTCCTGTCCTCTACCATCTTCTGGAGTCCATTGAAGCTCACGCCTACTGCTTCAGTGACTCCATCCAGCCACCTCATTCTCTGTCGTCCCCTTCTTCTATTGCCCTCAATCTTTCCCAGCATCAGGCTCTTCTCCAGTGAGTCCTTCCTTCTCATTAGGTGGCCAAAGTACTTGAGTTTCAACTTCAGGATCTGGCCTTCTAAAGAGCAGTCAGGGTTGATCTCTTCTAGGACTGACCGGTTTGATCACCTTGCAGTTCAGGGGACTCGTAGGAGTCTTCTCCAGCACCAGCGTTCAAAGGCCTCAATTCTTTGGCGTTCAGCCTTTCTTATGGTCCAACTTTCACAGCCATACCTTGCAACTGGGAAAACCATGGCCTTGACTATACGTACTTTTGTTGGCAGGGTGATGTCTCTGCTTTTTAGTATGCTGTCTAGATTTGCCATAGCTTTCCTCCCCAATAAATCTTTTTTTTTTTCACACCGCAAGCACAAAATCTGGAAGCAATTTCCAAATAGAAACAAAGTTAAATATATCTTCTTCTTTGGATAAAAGAATCCATTTGAACATCTCTGCTTCTCCTTGCTGTGGGGCATAATATACGCTTCTGTTTACTCATTAAACTCATATTTATCTTGCTTCAGTGTATACACCGAGATTTGGCCGCTCGCAATATCCTTTTATCCGAGAGCAATGTGGTCAAAATCTGTGATTTCGGATTAGCTCGGGACATCTACAAAGACCCAGATTACGTCAGAAAAGGAGATGTAAGTTCTGAAATTTTCAAACATTTATTTAAAATTAATGCTAACCATGACATCCTACGTGCCTAATCCCACTTTCACTTCATTGATTAGCAAACAAACATGTTGTAATCCGTTTACTACAAGCTTTCAAGTTTTACTATTTTATAACTTTTAACATTTATGTAAATTACTGTGACAATAATGTTCTTGTTATTAATTGGTGGTGTTTAAGATATATAATGTTGTTTCTTAAATATTTAGGCTAGATTACCCCTGAAATGGATGGCCCCAGAAACCATTTTTGATCGTGTATACACAATTCAAAGTGATGTCTGGTCTTTTGGTGTATTATTGTGGGAAATATTTTCATTAGGTAAGTTGAATGTCTTTGCTGGCTAATTCTTCTCAAGGTTTTAACATTAAGACTACGGAAATGTAACCATGTTTTTAATGCAGTGTCATTATAGATACCTATTTCCCCACCAATATAGAACAAAAAAGTGAATATTTAGTAGGCATTTAAGTGTTTGGAATATTTTTATTTGTTGCTCCTTAATAAAAACCTAAGACCTTCATTAAGACCCAATTATGTCCATGAGTTTGATTCCTGTTTATATTATTATACTGATGAAATGTTACAGAATAACAGAGCTGGAAGGGACCATGGAGGTCTTCTAGTCCAATCCCCTGCTCAGGCAGGAAACCCTATATCCGTAGTGGCGAACCTATGGCAGAGCCCTCTCTGTGGGCACGCACGCTGTCCCCCCAGTCCTAGGCCTTCAGCTGGATTTTATAAAACCTTTTAGCTTTAGGCCTCCACCGCCATGTGCCAAAAAAAAGATTCAATCAATCAATCAATTTCAATTTCCTACGGGGAAAAGAAAAGATCTCGCAAAGTTGGAATTGATTGATTGAACTTTTTAGTCCCACCCAGTCTGCCGTTACCACTGCAGCCACACCTACCCAATGGGCCATGCCCACCCAATGGGCCACACCCACCCAACGGGCCACACCCACCCGGCACCCAACGATACATACGGTAAGTGGGTTTTGAGTTGCAGTTTGGGCACTCGGTCTCTAAAAGGTTCGCCATCATTGCCCTATATCATTTCAGACAAATGGTTGTCCAGTCTCTTCTTAAAAACTTCCAGTGTTGGAGCATTCACAACTTCTGGAGGCAGGTTGTTAAACTGGTTAATTGTTCTTATAGTCAGGAAATTTCTCCTTAGTTCTAAGTTGCTTCTCTCCTTGATTAGTTTCCATCCATTGCTTCTTGTCCTGCCTTCAGGTACTTTGGAGAATAGCTTGACTCCCTCTTCTTTGTGGCAACCCCTGAGATATTGGAACGCTTCTATTATGTCCCCCCTCGTCCTTCTCTTCATTAGACTAGACATATCCAATTCCAGCAACCGTTCCTTATGTTTTGGCCTCCAGTCCCCTGATCATCTTTGTTGCTTTTCTCTGCACTCATTCTAGAGTTCCATGGATTATCATGGATCCGGAACTTCTTTCCATCTAATTTTGGAGGGTTCCCCTTAAAACATCGTACTCCATTTTTCTGGGTGCTCTGATACCCAGGAAAGTGTTTCAAAAGATAAAGGAGTGAAGGGGTCTGTTTTGTTAGATCAAGAAACCTTTCCCTCAGTCCAAATTTTAGAAAATAAATATATTGGACCATGATGATAAATAAATTATTGCACTTTTTATATGCTGTTACGGGATTCCCATATTTTGGTTGGAAAATGTCTAGCAAAACAATATCCAAATATTTTTTTAAAAAAATTAATGTTGTCACATTAGATTTATTACGGATTCTTTCTATGCTGGCGATAGCATACTTCAGCCATGTGGTACCTATATGGTTTTCAGCCAGAAATTTGACCTCTACAGAGAACTATTAGAATTATCTGTAAAAAAAACATGCATTTCAAAATAGAGAAATTCAGAATATAAGAGTTTGTTTGAATCCTAGATTGGCCTTGATCTCTAGGTCCTACCAAATGTTTGAGGTGGAGTCAATCTGTTGTTCCCATTATTAAGCTACAGTTAGTCCTTGATTTGTTGCCACAATTGGGTCTGCAATTTTGGTCGTACGTTTCAACACTCATAGAAGTCAAGAGGCCCATGTGATTGGACCTGATTGCTCAACATTTGTATGGTGGTTGTTAAGCAAATCACGCATTTATCATGCAGTCGTATGTAAGAACCCATTCTTCCGAATGCGCAGGGTTGTTTTTTTTTGACAAATGGCAATAAACTTTCAACATTGGGAAGAACTTGGAGATCAAGTCCACTCTGGGTTTCAAACAAGCTCTTACGTTCCAAATGTTTCAATTTTTCAATGCATCTTACAATGACCACAAATGGTTTAGGGCAGTGGTAGGCAACCTTGGCTGTTTTATGACTTGTGGACTTCAACTCCCAGAATTCCTGAGCCAGCATGGAGCCAGCCAAGGTTGCCTACCTACCCCTGGTTTAGGGGCTGTAAAGCATCTTTTGCAAGGCCATCATAACTCAAAACAGTTTTTAAATGACCAGTTTTAAGTCAGCTGTATTAGCAGTCTTGACATTTTTCTGATCGTCTCCAAAAGATCGGTTTACCTGCTGCCGATCCTGATCTATCTTCTGCCCATTTTCGGTTGAAGTGATGTACCTGTTAAATTTATAGTAAATTTATAGCTGTTTTTCAAATTGGTGAAGTGTAGATAAGCAGTACAATGACACCAGAATTTTTAGGCAATTTTTAAAAGAAAATCTACTCTTTTAGGGGCCTCACCATATCCAGGTGTAAAAATTGATGAAGATTTCTGTAGAAGACTAAAAGAAGGAACAAGGATGAGGCCACCAGATTACACAACACCTGAAATGTAAGAACTTTTGCTGTTGAAAACACCTTTTATAGCAGACGCTGATCATACGTTCATTCCGTTCCCTTCCATTTCATTTAGGAATGCTCCAGTGACAATAAAACACATCCATTAGTTGGCCAACACAGCTTTGATGTTAATGGTATAGAAGAGCAAAATCAAACAAAGCAAATCTATTTTTCCCGTTCTCCCTTTATTCCTTGTAACCATAACCGTTAATTGTTAGCTGAATGGGTTTAAGTCTGGGACATATTTATTTATAGTAGGTTTAATTCTCCAGGTATCAAACAATGTTGGACTGCTGGCATGGTGAACCCAAACAAAGACCAACCTTCTCAGATCTGGTGGACCACTTAGGGAATTTACTGCAAGCCAAGGTTCACAAGGTACAGAAATGTTTTTACAACAGGGATGGGGAAGGATGACCTTTCATGACTTGTGGACTTCAACTCCCAGAGTTTCTAAGTCAGCCATGCTAGCTCAGGAATTCTGGGAGTTGAAGTCCACAAGTCATAAAGGGGGCATCGTTCCCTACCTCTGTTCTACAGGCTGCCACCAACACCCTGATTTTTTTTTTAATCCGCTCCATTCATTAATAATAAAAAAGTAAACCTATTTGTGTCTGTCTTTCACATCAGGATGGTAAAGATTATGTTGTCCTTCCCCAAGTTACGTTGCTTCATACTGAAGAAGATTCTGGGCTTTCTTTGCCAACGTCACCTGTTTCCTGCACGGAAGAAGAGGAAGTGTGTGATTCTCAGTTCCATTATGACAGCACGTCGCAAACAAGGTTTGTAATAGTCGGAGCGTTCCATTGGGAGTCTTCAACAACCCCTTCCTAAAGGCTGATAGCTGACGTGATCGTAGCAAAGATGAGAAAGGCATTTGTGTTGCTCGTTATTCAGTGCAATCCGTCACGCTAAATGATAACTGTTTGTGTCCCACCCAAGAGACCAGGTGACTAATGTACAAGTAAACAATAGATGAATGAATGTGTACAATCTCATTTAACTTCCCAGAAATGCCATCAGAATCCATGTAACAGAGACCTGGTCCTTGATGCCCAAAGGTTGGGGACCGCTGTTCTAAAGGAAGCACGTGTTGGACTTCTTTCCAGGAAATGGGTTTAGGATGGTCCCTGGGAGAAAGAAGCTGTTGGGTCAAACAGCTGGAAGGGTGGATTATCTAGGAAGTGCAAGAAGCAGCCTTCGGGGACAAAATAGGGTGACACTAAATATACACATATTCACATACGCACACGAACACACACCGGCATCCAATACAGGTTGCAGAATCCGTACAGCACCTAGATCATAGGTAGGCAACCTGCAGCTCCGGAGCCACATGAGGCTCTTTGAGCCTTCTCCTGCGGCTCCCAGCCTCTTCTGCCATTTTCAGAGAGAGACAGAGACAGAGAGACACACTTGCGCTTCTCTCTCTCTCTCTCTCTCTCTCTCTCTCTCTCTCTCTCTCTCTCTCTCTCTCTCTCTCTCTCTCTCTCTCTCTCTCTCTCTCTGTGTGTGTGTGTGTGTGTGTGTGTGTGTGTAAAAAAGAGAGTGGCATCACCCTGTTCCACGAGCTGACAAGCTTATCGGGCAGGGCTCCTCCCTTTGCTGCATCTCTGCAGGAAGCAGGAAGGGCAGGAGAGACCAGCCTGTTGGAGAACAGCTTGAAGCCAGCTTGCCAGGTTAGCAGAAGATCGGAGAGAGGGAGAGAGAGGGAGAGAGAGGGGAGGAAAGAAAGAGAGAGAGGGAGAGAAAGAAGGAGAGAAAGAGAGAGAAAGAGAAAGAAGGAGAGGAAAGAGAGAGAGAGAGAGGAAAGAGAGATAGAGAGAGGGAGAGGAAAGAGAAAGAGGGAGGGAGGGAGAGAGAGGAGAGGAAAGAGAGAGAGAAAGAAAGGGGGGAAAGCGCAAGTGCCTCTCTCTCTCTCTTTCTCTCTCTCTCTCTCTCTCTCTCTCTCTCTCTCTCTCTCTCTCTCTCACACACACACACACACACACACACACACACACACACTGAGTGGGGGAAGAGGACTGGCAGACCAAGGGCAGAAAGAGAGAGAGGGAGAGGGAGGGAGGGAGGGAGAGACAGAGAGAGACACCCTTTTGACATCTAAAATGAAGATAACACTGCATATATACTTGTTTACCTTTATGATATATATATCATACATGGTATACACACACACACACACACACACACACCTATAATAAAGGAAAAAAAGGATATATGCAATGTTATCTTCATTTTAGATATCAAAAGGGTTTTGCGGCTCCCAGTGCTTTGTTGTCGGTGGGAAACGAGTGTAAGTGGCTCTTTGAGTGTTTTGGGTTGCCTACCCCAGACTTAGATGCATCAAGGGGTTGACTGAATCCACAGGAAGTATCTCTTTCTTCTGGATAAAATTGTAATCGTTCAAATCATATGAGATTCTGGCAATTTTTCAGCGATACCTGAAATTGATGATGCTCACAGCTCAGAGGGATGCTAGCTGTACATGTTTTGACTATCCAGTTTTACTAGCTTCGGCACACTAACAAGAGATCTATTTCTTTTTCAGTCAGCATTGCCCAGGAAGTAAAAGAAACAGTCGCCGTGTGAGTGTGAAGACTTTTGAATCTGTGCCCATAGAACCACCCATAAAAGTGGTTCAAGATGTAAGTCCATTTTTATAGCTTCTTCTTTTTTGGACTTTCGGTCCGTCCGTCTGTCCGTCTGTCTGTGTTTCCATTGATTGTCCAAACAGTCTTTTTTTTTTTTTTTTTGGACTCTTTCAGGAAAATCAGACAGATAGTGGGATGATTCTCGCATCTGAAGAACTAAAGGCGTTAGAAGAGAAAGCTAAAGAACTGGCGTTGCCCTTCAGGTAAATCTGGAGAAACAATCATTACACCCACTTTATTAAAAAAAAATAAAATAAATCAAGGTGGTTCGGAATAAAAAAAACCAAAGTGCCCCCGTGAGGAAACAGCCCAGTAGAAGTGGTTGATCTCCCCATGTGCCCTTGGGTGTTAATGTTTGATTTTAATTATTTATGTTTTAATTATGTCTATATAGACATTTTTATTTTTTTTTGCCTCTAAGCCACTCAGAATTTACCCTAGGACAGGGGTAGGCAACCTCGGCTCTTTTATGACTCATGGACTTCAACTTCCAGAATTCCTGAGTCAGCTATGCTATGCTGACTCAGGAATTCTGGGAGTTGAAGTCCACGAGTCATAAAAGAGCCGAGGTTGCCTACCCCTGCCATAGGGTAAAATGAGCGGCCAATAAATGTTATATGTAAATAAATACATAAATAAATAAAATTCTCTACTTGAGAGGAAATATCTAGAGTTATCTACCTCTCTTTTGGACAGATTTATTCTTCTTACCCAGTAATGTTCCATCAGTGATGTCACACTCTTGGGAAATGGGAGAAAAGAGCATATCAGCGTCCAATACCGCAAGCTAAGGCTTAAATTGTCCACCAGCATTTTGACTTCCTGGGGTTCCAATGTCGCTTTGGGAATCACTGGTCCTATTATATTCCATGTTTATTTATTCTGGCATTCTTTCCCTTTTTCCCTCCATAGCAGTTTGACAGAATATTTGCTGCTAGATGGCCGTTAGTGTATGGAGAGACGTCGCTGATAGATGGAGATGCTTCTCCATCTCTCCCTGTGTTTCATCCACATGGAATAGAATAGAACAGAGGTGTCAAACTCGCAACGTCACGTGACATGTTACGACGTATCGCAACTTTTTCCCCATTGCCGGCAATGGGATGGGCACGGTTTCGGCATGACGCATCTGGCCCGTGGGCCAGCAGTTTGACACCCCTGGAATAGAATATAGAATAGAATACTTTGTTGGCCAAGTGTGATTGGACACACAAGAATTTGTCTCCGGTGCAGAAGCTCTCAGTGTACGTGCAAAGGAACAGAGTAATAATAATCATACTAACAATACCAATAAGAAAGGGTAGTAAAGAAGATGGGAATGATAATAATAATAATATTATAGCATGGATAACATGGATAAATATACTTAGACATAAAGCAGTACTGTGAGAATTAGGTGTTCAGCTGAGTGATGGCCCGAGAGAAAAAACTGTCTATGTGTCTAGTTGTTTTGGCATGCAATGCCCTATAGCGCCATCCTGAGGGGAGGAGTTGAAACAGTTTATGTCCAGGGTCTGTAGATATTTTCTCAGCCCTCTTTCTCACCCTTGGAATATACAGTCCTCAATGGAAGGCAGGTGTCCAGCTACGAAGATTGCTTATGTTAGAATAGAAACCACTTCTAGCTTGCCAACAGTTACATTGTGGGGGGGGGGGGACATGTGGACTGCACAGGTGGTTTCTATTCATATGGGAGGCAAGGTTGCTGAACAGATGTTATGCTGAGCAGACACTTTATTCTCGCAACAACTGCCTGAAGACTAATTGGACAATATGATCCGAACTGTCAGAGAGGTTTTATTCTTTTAATTATCTTTTCCCCACATATTGCCAGAGCTGGTTTTCATCTCTTTAGCGCCAGTATGCTGTACTCAATAAAGTTTTGCATCAGAGATCAGAATGTCTCAGGTGTGCTTACCTTGTTGGGATCTTTATCCGGAAACTTGACACTAGGCTGGTTGCAATTGTTTTTTTCTGCAGTCCTAACTATCTGTTGAAATCTGTACCTGTCCTGTTTTGGGTGCTGTATCAAACCAGACAGAATGTCCTCCATACTTATTGGCCAAGGCAAAAATCCCATCTTGATAGCCCTTTGAGGTAGTTCAGAAAAGCAGCAGAGCTTTGTGTACTAACTCCTCTCTGTCGTGATTCCGTGCCAGCCTGTGTTCCCAACAGCTGAGTCTGGGGAATCTGAGGAGGAGGTGGAGGAGGCATTTGAAGGGCCATCAGGGTCAGAGGGAGGCTCTGATGAATTACAAGACTCACAGTCTGATGAAGAGCCTGGCCCCTCCAGTCGTGTTGCAGATGAAGCTCAGCTGTGTGGGGAGAATGAGTTAGATTTGGAGGATTCACACCTGATGGACATGATGATTGATGCTCGTAGATGCCGGCAATTAGCGAGAGCAGATCAGCAGCAGTCAATACGACAACTCCAGGGGAGGAGGAGAAGGCACTGAGAGGCAACGCCTTGGGAAGGTGTGGGCGGTGCTGGTTGCTGAAGGCAACCGTTGCAAAGTATTTCATGGGATCATGTTCTGTTAGTCTTGCCTGTGACTACTTCTCTGCTTTGTATGGTTTCGTGTGGACAATTTCCTCCATTTGGATTGTGTTTGCTGCTTTTGTTTCTGGACTATTTGGCAGGTTGGTTACCCATATTAAAAGGGGTTTGTTTTCTTGAGTCTCCAGCCTATTTTCTCAAAAGGGGTTTTGTCCTTGTGCCTTTAACAAGGACAGCCATAGGCTGGGACAGAACACTCTCTTTCTGTGGGCTGGAACATCTTTGATATGCTGGTCGTCCATTCTGGGTCTCTTCCTCCTGTCTCCCTAGGTCACTCTCACACGCCATTACGCATACTCTGAACCCCAGTGCAAAATTAGCCGTTTTCATTTTTATTTTTCAGTGGGCTGATTTCCAGTAAAAGCAACGAATCTGTTATGTCTGAAGCTTCAAATCCCACCAGTGGCTACCAGTCAGGCTATCATTCAGACGACATGGACACTACCATTTATCCTAGTGAAGAAACAGAACTTTTAACGCTCAATGATGATGCTTCTCAGACCTGCTACGTTGCCTACGGCCCCGCTATCTCTTTGACTTCACAGTCTGTATAAGGACTTCTCAACAACAACAAAAAGGCAACAACTGGAACTTGTGCCAAATATTGCCTTTTCCCGAAAGCCGTTGTATTCATACCCAGAATACAGGAGGGGGAAAAAAATATGAATTCCCCCCCCCAAATTTTTTACGATAAGAAGAAGAAAAATTGCAATAAGGAATCCTGGAGGCAATGCAAGACTTTGAGAGAGCTTGAAGCTATGTTAGACATTACTGAAAGTCACAATCATTTCATCATCAGTTTGAACATAAGAACATCGTAAAATCTGATAAAGGAGGCCATCTCTCGATGCTGTTACGTGACGATGGAAATAGGCTCAGTCAGAATCCTTTGAATTTTGGGTTGGTCAGCGATGAGGTTTCAAAAATGTGGATGGTGGAGTCTGAGACAGTGCCTGACAGTACAGCCCCTGCCTTTCCTAAATCCTCTTTTATTTATTCCTTTGAAGGACCCTTCTGTCTAAACCAGGGGTAGGCAACCTTGGCTCTTTTATGATTTGTGGACTTCAACTCCCAGAATTCCTGAGCCAGCCATGCTGAGGGGAAAGGGAGAGGTTTCCAAGCTGAGCCATGCTGGCTCAGGAATTCTGGGAGTTGAAGTCCACGAGTCATAAAAGAGCCAAGATTGCCTCCTCCTGGTCTATGACAAGAGTGGGGAACCTTGGCCCTTTTATGACTCGTGGACTTCAACTCCCAGAATTCCTGAGCCAGCATGAGGGAAACTTTGGCCCCTTCATGACTCATGGACTTCAACTCCCAGAATTCCTGAGCCAGCCATGCTGAGGGGAAAGGGAGAGATTTCCAAGCTGAGCCATGCTGGCTCAGGAATTCTGGGAGTTGAAGTCCACGAGTCATGAAGGGGCCAAAGTTTCCCTCATGCTGGCTCAGGAATTCTGGGAGTTGAAGTCCACGCGTCATGAAAGAGCCGAGGTTGCCTACCCCTGGTCTAAACCTTGCTGTTGAAAATAAGCCATTAAGTGCTGCTGAAGGCAAGGCAACTGTCTTTGCGAAAAGCTCTGTTTTAGTACATGGGCCTTGATGTACTTTTGAGCCTTTCAGAGAAGGCTTCCTACTGAAATGACTCCTGTAGGCTTGGGAAATGCTTAAAAATGAAGCAAATCACTCCAGAGCTTTAACCATTATTCACCAAAGAATGGTGGTGAACTTTTCTTTACTCGATTAAAATTGTATGGTTCTGAAGATGTAGGCTGTTATTCCTTTTTTTGGAAACAGCCACCTTGTAATGCAGACAAGCAAATTGTCCATAAAACCAGTTTTATCACCGAGATAACAGAATAACAGCGTTGGAAGCGACCTTGGAGGTCATCTAGTCCAGAGGTCCCCAACCCCCGGTCTGTGGACCGGCACCGGGCCCTAGCATGCCAGAAACCGGGCTGCGCAAACAAGCGAAGCTCCATCCACGGGATGCAGGCAGCACACAAAACCACACCCCCTCTGGTCCACGAAAAAAACCTCTCCCCCACAGAACCGGTCTCAAGTGCCTAAAAGGTTGGGGGGGTCTCTGATCTAGTCCATCTCCCTGCTCAAGCAGGAGACCCTATGCCAGGGGTCTCCAACCTTGGTAACGTTAAGACTTGCGGACTTCAACTCCCAGAATTCCTCAGCCAGCCAAGCTGGCTGAGGAATTCTGGGAGTTGAAGTCCGCAAGTCTTAACGTTGTCAAGGTTGGGGACCTCTGCCCTATACCAATAGTAGCTGCTCAGAATGTTCTGATGGGCTTTCCAAGTGGAAAGATTCCACAACGTGGTCACCTAGAGCTCTAACAGTCAGTGTGTCGTACGTTGACTTTTCTTTACAGAAAAATACCATGAAGCTATTTTGACTAGCGTTGTTTTGGTTCCTTTTGTATTTCTCATTCGTGGTTTTGTATTTTGTTTTTAATATTTCAAGCCTGACAAACCCATGAATTAACAAAACAATTTAAAAGGCACAATGCAGTATTTATAGTCTGGATATGTAGAAAGATTTGTAATATATTATGGAAATAAATAAATAAATATATTGTCTAATGAAAGCTCAGTGGAACTTATTCTTGAGTTTGCTAGATGTTCGGCTCACGATTAAAAAGGGTTCAGTTCTCAGCTGAACATTTTTAAATGCGGGTGATTTTGTACAGTCGTTGTTGTGTAAATTCATCACTTCACAACAATCTGAAAGCAGTTTCTTGTAGTCTTTCACATGTTACATTTTCGTTCTCCAGCATTTATAAGGATCAAAGTATCCTACCTGCCAGGTAAGTATTCCAACATTTATATCCAATGGACTAAGTAAATCAGTTCTGTGTCATTTCAAATAGTCAATATGCTTACATTTTTATTAGATTTTTGTTTTTCCTGCAAAAAATTTCAGATCAGCAAAAGAACAATCCCACACCTGTTTGGGGGAGAGAGAAAAAAATCTCCTGGCCTTGTTTGTTTCTACTTTGTTTTATTTTTTAACATCCAGGAACATCTCAGGAATCTGTGGCTCTGTTAGTCCTTTTTTTAGAAAAAACATCTGGTCTTTCAAAACATCTTCCTTTCAAAATATATATATTTAGTCTCAGCATTCTTGGCAAAATGCCAGCTGGGTCACATCTGTTTTAGCAGATGTCAGACTGCACAATATTTTAATGATGGCACTGTAAATGAAGATGGTTTTTTTGTGCACCTGCACACATGTACACCCAGTGCTTAATGTATGTCTTTATCTTTGGGGAGTTGGATGTTGAGTTTGTTCCGGGAAATGTGTATTGTCATTTACAGCTCTGAACAAGTCTGCTTGGAAACAAGGTCTACTAAGTGTGTTTGTAACATAACTCCTGTATAACTTAATGCAGGCAATGGCAATCTTAGTCATTAAGAGACTACTTATTGCACACATGGTCAATGCATATGTTTTTTGCAAAGGAATAAAGCAGTAAAAAGAAATTTAAAAGGGACTGCTTTTCCTAGATCAGTGGTGGCGAACCTATGGCACGGGTGCCAGAGGCGGCACTCAGAGCCCTCTCTATGGGCACGTGTGCCGTTGCCCCAGTCCTAGGCCTTCAGCTGGGTTTTATAAAACCTTTTCGCTTTAGGCCTCCGCCACCATGTGCAAAAAAAAAAAGGTTCAATCAGTCAATTTCAACTTCTCGCGGGAAAAAAAAAGATCTTGCAAAGTTGGAATTGATTGATTGAACTTTTTAGTCCCACCCAGTCTGCTGTTACCACCACAGCCACGCCCAGCCAATGGGCCACACCCAGCCAATGGGCCACGCCCAGCCAATGGGCCACAGCCACCCGGCACTTGACGATGCATAAGTGGGTTTGGGGTTGCAGTTTGGGCCCTCAGTCTCTAAAAGGTTCGCCATCACTGTCCTAGATCATTGAATCCCGGGGGGGGGGGGATATTTAATGGCTTCTGGGTCCAACTCAGAACTTTGCGGATTTTTTTCTTCTGCACAGCAACTGCATGATCGTCCACAAGCCAGTACTCTGAATGTTAGGTATTGTAGAAGATTCTCTGTTAGATTCACACTTTAGATTCCAACTCCCCAACATTTCACAATTGAACAAATAAGGGAATGCACTGGATTTGGCCAAGAAAATGAATGAAAAATGGCTACATTCATATCAGGGGTGGATTTTAATGGCTCTTGGAGACCAAGCAGAATCCTTCCAAGCTACCAAAATAATATCTGGAGTTTCCTGACTTTTTTGGTCCTCTGTTGGGCTACAGAAAGGCTGTATGCCTTTCTCTCTCTTTATACCAGGGGTCTTCAAACTTGGCAACTTTAAGACTTGTGGACTTCAACTCCCAGAATTCCTCAGCCAGCCCTGGCTGGCTGAGGAATTCTGGGAGTTGAAGTCTACAAGTCTTAAAGTTGCCAAGTTCGAAGACCCCTGCTTTATACAATCCTAAACATTAAGATACTACATAGAGCAGTGATGGCGAACCTATGGCACGCGTGCCAGAGGCGGCACTCAGAGCCCTCTCTGTGGGCACACCTGCCGCCACCGCCGCCAGCTCGCGTAGGTCCATTAGGCCACTGCTGGCACCTGGAGCAGCAGCCCCACCCAGCACAAAGGAGGCGAAGCAGCTGGCTAGCAAGCTTGAGTAGAGGTGGTAGAGCATGCCCCCATGTGCTCACTGGGTTCTGTGTGCGGGGGCCGATGGTGTCAGGCAGCAGCCATCCCTGCCTCGCCTTGGCCTGCAGCAATGGCACCCCCACCCTACCCCCGTCTCACCCCACAGGATGAGCCTCCTGCCCACCCACCAGAGACCCCCTGGATATCCCCCAATCCTGCCCAGCCCCCACAGGCATCCCCCCCACGAGCAACATCAAGGTGGCCATGCTGACCCCAGCCATGCCTACTCAGTCTGCCGTGACCACTGCAGCCATGCCCACCCCGTGGGCCACGCCCACCCCCACCCACCCCCTGAGGGCACCACAATGCTGATGCGGTCCTGGCACTTTGCGATAAGTGGGGTTTGGGCTGCGGTTTGGGCACTTGGTCTCTAAAAGGTTCGCCATCACTGACATAGAGCAAGGATTGAGAAAGAACTTCAAAAAGGTGAAGGGCCTTATGTTGACTTACACGTCTAACTGGTTAAAGATAACATTATTCAAGTCCCCCAGGATGCTAAGCTTTAGGCTAAGTGTTTCTACTAAATGTGATTTAAATCCCACCCTCTCCAGCTTTTTAGACTGATCAGGTCCTGGAAAATATCATTTAGGCCTCATTTGGGAGAAGAATAGGAGCTCTTTAATTTATGCTGCTGATAAGTATCTAAGAGAAGAAGTGGATTTGGGAAACTTTGCCTTTTGTTACTCTAAAGTGGGACTGTGTAAAGCCTAATCCGCAGATGTAATTAGCTGTTAACCTTCTTAGGTTCACCAGGGGCTAAAACATAAACTGCGGACTATGCACAGTAATTTTGAGTATAAGTCGACAGCTTTTGTTGGCTGTTGCCCTGTATATAACATCTGGAAACTTCCTCAAATGCCAGAATC